ATATCAACATGTGAGTGAAGTTATTGAACGCCAATTCACTCTCTTTCCATCCCTAGTCCTTTAAATCCTAACCGCTAAAAAGGCAATGCACTTGTAAGTTCCCAGTGTTGCGGTTGACTATGAGCGACGTAGATAGGCCTATTAACAAGTAAGTGACGCATCTCCTTGGATGCCGCCTAGTCAATGTAACGCCTCGCCCCGCCCAGGAATTGGACTCGACCCCCTTGTAAAGGCCTAAATACGCAGCAGGTGTAAGCATGCAGCTAAATGAATTAACACTCAGTTTACTAATTTAAATGGTTCACACAGCGTTCCAGCGTACTCGGGAAGCACTCTTAGGGAAAATTGGCTCCCTTCTAATTGGCTTATTGTAAACCCCCTAACAGGGCATCGAAGCGGCTCCCATGCTTCGCTTTAAGTACATACCATTTTAAATCATCTACGGGCGCAATTTCCTTCGCAGGAAATAATTACATAAGAATGTTCTATTATTACATTTTATTAGAATAATTAAAACAAGAATATACATAGTCTGGCCATAAATACTGTTACAATTAAAAATAAACAAAATATTACATTTGAATTTGGAATCTGTCATTTTTATATAATTTTTCATTGTGTTTTCTTATTTTGGCGCCAATAAATTGTTCAATATTTTGCGATATTAAAATGGAGTGGGGTGATAAAGAGAACCGAATCGCTGTGATTGCATTACACAAAGTGGGTATGGAGCCAAGTGCAATTTTTAAAACTACACACGCTTGGCATCAGTCAAATGTTTGTGTACCGGGCTATTAATAGGTACAATGAGACCTCCTCTGTTTGTGACAGAAAAAGATCTGGCAGTCCACGTAGTGTTGGTACGAAAAAGGTGGTCAAAGCAGTAAGGGAAAGAATTCGAAGAAATCCTGTCCGAAAGCGAAAGATTTTATCTCGAGAGATGAAGATAGCATCTAGAACCATGTAGCGTATTTTAAAAGACGACTTAGGACTTGCAGCCTATAAGAGACGCACTGGACATTTTTTAAATGATAATTTAAAAAAAAATAGGGTAATAAAATCTAAACAACTGCTGAAGCGGTACGCAAAGGGAGGTCACAGAAAAATTTTGTTTAAGGATGAGAATTTTTTACAATTGAGCAACATTTTAACAAACAAAATGACCGTATTTATGCTCAAAGCTCTAAGGAAGCTTCTCAATTAGTTGACAGAGTGCAACGTGGGTATTATCCGACTTCAGTGATGGTTTGGTGGGGTGTTAGCTATGAAGGAGTGACTGAGCCATACTTTTGCGAAAAAGGTATCCAAACATCGGCACAAGTGTATCAAACTACCATTCTTGAGGAGGTACTTAAGCCCCTAAACAACACCATGTTCAATAACCAACAATGGTCCTTCCAGCAAGACTCGGCGCCGGGTCATAAAGCTCGGTCCACGCAGTCTTGGTTGAAAACGAACGTTTCCGACTTCATCAGAGCTGAAGACTGGCCGTCGTCTAGTCCCGATCTTAATCCGCTGGATTATGATTTAGGGTCAGTTTTAGAGAGTAGGGCTTTCTCTAAACGTCATGATAATTTGGACTGCCTAAAACAATCCATACGATTGGTAGTGAAGAATTTTCCCATGGAAAGAGTGCGTGCTTCTATTGATAACTGGCCTCAACGTTTAAAGTACTGTATTGCAGCCAATGGAGACCACTTCGAATAAGCTTTTTATGTTTTAAATTGTTTTATATTTATGTATTAAACTTACATACTGCAAAAGTAATAAAACTTATTTGCAATAGAAAAAAAATTTTTTTATTTGTTACAGTATTTATGGCTAGACTAGGTATAAAAAAGATTTTATCTAAAAAGTAGAATTAGCTCTTCCTTGTCTAAGATTTTGTAACTATTCAGTTATGGAATATATAAAAATGGACAAACAAATTTTACAAAAGATATGCTTTTTAAATAAAAGATACCACACTTTATACACAAGTATACCTACTAGGTAATCCGACATCTGTGGAAAAATATCTTGCAAGGAGATAGCTCGTTTGAATAAGCCTTTGACTGCCGACAGAAAACTGTTGAAGGCAAATCCTCCGCTAACGGAGGTCACCGCTGACCCCCATGGCGCTTAACGGAGGTCACCGGTGACCCCCATGGCGCTTAACGTGTTAAGGACTGACTGACTGACTGACTGACTGACTGACTGACTGACTGACTGACTGACTGACTGACTGACTGACTGACTGACTGACTGACTGACTGACTGACTGACTGACTGACTGACTGACTGACTGACTGACTGACTGACTGACTGACTGACTGACTGACTGACTGACTGACTGACTGACTGACTGACTGACTGACTGACTGACTGACTGACTGACTGACTGACTGACTGACTGACTGACTGACTGACTGACTGACTGACTGACTGACTGACTGACTGACTGACTGACTGACCGACTGACTGACTGATCGAAATCACGCCGGTTTTCAGTGAGGCCATGGTATCACTTTGGTCGAGCTGACCCATTCATGCCGAAGCACTGCAGCAGTAGCAGTGAGGCCAGGCCAGACCAGGCCTGTCACCGGTGACCCCCATGACGCTTAACGGAGGTCACCGGTGACCCCCATGGCGCTTAATGTGTAAAGGAAATGAGGTATACCAGTCCAGTCATCTTAGTAGTTTAACACAGAACTGACTGACTGACTGACTGACTGACTGACTGACTGACTGACTGACTGACTGACTGACTGACTGACTGACTGACTGACTGACTGACTGACTGACTGACTGACTGACTGACTGACTGACTGACTGACTGACTGACTGACTGACTGACTGACTGACTGACTGACTGACTGACTGACTGACTGACTGACTGACTGACTGATCAAAATCATGCCGGTTTTCAGTGAGGCCGTGGTATCACTTTGGTCGAGCTGACCCATTCGTGCCGAAGCACTGCAGCAGCAGCAGTGAGGCCGGGCCAGACCAGGCCTGTCACCGGTGACCCCCATGGCGCTTAACGTGTTAAGGAAATGAGGTATACCAGTCCAGTCATCTTAGCAGTTTAACACAGGACTGACTGACTGACTGACTGATTGAGTGACTGACTGACTGACTGACTATCAAAATCACGCCGGTTTTCAGTGAGGCCGTGGTATCACTTTGGTCGAGCTGACCCATTCGTGCAGAAGCACTGCAGCAGCAGCAGTGAGGCCGGGCCAGACCAGGCCTGTCACCCGTTACCCCCATGGCGCTTAACGTGTTAAGGAAATGAGGTATACCAGTCCAGTCATCTTAGTAGTTTAACACAGGACTGACTGACTGACTGATTGACTGACTGACTGACTGACTGACTGACTGACTGACTGACTGACTGACTGACTATCAAAATCACGCCGGTTTTCAGTGAGGCCGTGGTATCACTTTGGTCGAGCTGACCCATTCGTGCAGAAGCACTGCAGCAGCAGCAGTGAGGCCGGGCCAGACCAGGCCTGTCACCAGTTACCCCCATGGCGCTTAACGTGTTAAGGAAATGAGGTATACCAGTCCAGTCATCTTAGTAGTTTAACACAGGACTGACTGACTGATTGACTGACTGACTGACTGACTGACTGACTGACTGACTGACTGACTGACTGACTGTCTGACTGAATGACTGACTGACTGACTGACTGACTGACTGACTGACTGACTGACTGACTGACTGACTGACTGACAGACTGACTGACTGATTGACAGACTGCAGCAGCAGCAGTACCTTATTTTGACTAAGATGGCTCGACTATAATGTATAGAGCTACGTCAAAGGCCAGGAGGTAAAAGCGATATTAAAGCCACTAATAAAAAGAGATCACTGCTTCCACGCCATCTTTAGTATTATAAAAATAAATACGTAACAATAACCTTCTCTTGGATTTAGACTTAGACTGCACGGTTGGTGCGGTGGCTGGGCAACTGGCTGCCGTGCAACGTGTCGTGGGTTTGATTCCCGTACGGAACAACCCACAAATTGTTGGTCCGGGTGTGGGTGTCATGTGCATATGAAATTGTATGTTTGTAACCGTACCCACGACACAAGAGAAAATCATAGAGTGGGGCAACGTTTTTTTAAAAAAATGTTTTCAAAATGCATGCAATATTTTTTATTTTGAAAGGACGCTCCTCTAACCTGATTTCGTCGGCCATTGAAAATACTTACTTTTTAAAAGACAAGACAAAGGCGGAATTACCACATTCCGGAGACTCACTTCCGTTTCCAGATAAATAATTTACTGAAGCCCTTTTATTTTGGTCTTTTAATTGAAATTCGTGATTCAAATTAGGGACGTTACAATTTTTGTGTTAATTTAAAGTTGAGTCCGTTTTCGGTAGGGTAAGTTTGAAGGCGGGTCTACTTAAAATGTTTTGTGAATTGCTGATCTTCTTAAATTGTCTTATAATAAATAAATAAACAGTTTTCAAACGTAACTTAAGTAAATAAAATGATACTAAAATACAACAACATTTAGAATAGTAAGTTGTAGGTAGTTTTTTTTTTTGAGGTGGTATTTCACCATTTGTTTTCTTTAGCCCAGGGCGGGGTGCGAGGAACTGTATGTCAGACTCTTACTGACTAAAAACCTCGCTGTCACTTCTCTTGCTCCAAATCACAGTACATTGTAGCGTTTGCCCCGCAACCCAGGCTGAATATCAACCCTGTTGGGCCAGGCCTGTGGTGGTCTATTGGTCTTTGAGGCACGCGCGGAACGCTATGCGCCATACGTTCCGGGTTTGGTTCTGGTTGGAAGAGTTAGATGAATGTTTTATAAACTATATAAACTGCCAATTGAAAAACACTGAAAAAGTAAATATATTATTACATACACAAATACCAACATTATTTTATATCAAAACAATAATTTTGTTTACTGTTTACCAACTCTGGAATAACTTTAGGCATTTAGAAATTCAACTACGATGTTACATTCAGTAACAGTACAGTCATCGATTTTTGTCAACAATTTTTGATTAGGACGCAAGATAATTGATAATATCAAGGCTCAACTTTCTTGATATCTCTGTTTTGTTCCCCGCTCTTGCGTAGATTAAATATAAATATATAATAACAAACGTCCAGTTCCGAACGATCAGTTCGATGGACGCGCGCGAGTACATAAATTTTACATTAAATAATAATAAGTAAATACTTTCTATTTTTCAAAACAAATCAATTAAGTTATCGGCAGAATACTTGATAGTGTCCACAAAAAAATTTCACGTTGTCACCGAGTGATAATTATTATGATAATTTAAATAAATCCGAGTGTTTTCAAATCTAATCTGTTCCTAATTCTAAATAAAATTTTGATATTCTGAAGATTTAAATTACAAAAAGAGATTTGCTGATGAAAAACAGTGGTGTGTTTTCGATGAGATGTCATTGATTTGAAATCTTTATCGAGGTGTGAAAGGTTAGTACGATAGGCAACTATGTAACAATTGTTTAAATAAAACGGGTTAAATAATGCTACCGTTTTGTTAGTGTCAAATTTGTTATGTTTTTAACGTATTGTGTTGTCTTGTGTTGCAAGTTGCAAGTATTACAGTAATACCTAATACCTGGTGTTTCAAAAGTAAACCTAAAGCATATTAAAACAAGTACAGGTATGTATGTATTAAAAATTGTTACAAAATTATGAATATCTGTGATCGCCTTCCTATCAAATAATCTTTATAATAAGCCCAGGTATCTGTCTACAAGACAGCAGATGCCGACAATGAAACAATAAAAATAGATTATTTTCATTTGTTTCATCTAAAAGTAGTGCCATTTTTTTATTTGGAATAATTTGAATCATAATTTTTACACTTTTTCTGGCTAGTTTAAACCACACGTACAACTTACAACCTCCTAGAAAATATATAGATTTAATATTTATTTTTAATTTAAAGAACGGTTAGAACTTATCTACCAGATAATAACCCTTCAAAATTATCGATTAACGTAGTTTTATTAATCCCGGATATCAAGGTCAAAGACTCTAGACAGAAAAGGTCATCAGATAAGAGGTACAGTACTATTAAACACTATTTCTAGTACAATAATATGATCCTTGTAACTTTAATAATTATACTGATGTAAATAATAATGCTATTCCATCGCATTCTTGATCTTTATAGCTTAATGTAGATACAACTCTAAAGATGATAAAAAATCAAGGGCACTGTCGGGATCAGCAACTTAAATGATTAAACACCAGCCATAACAAATTTGATACTTACTCGTAAGTAGTTGAAAATATCATTTTCACTTTGTGCTACACTGTAACCAAAACTTAGTCCTCCTACTGAATAGTAGTTATTACGAACAATAATAGAAAAAGAAATTACATTACAAAAATAAACTGTTTATAGATGCATCTGTGGATGATTGACAGTAGGTTTTTGAAGTATGGTATTGGGTTGAAATCAGTCGCACAATACAAACTAACATTATAAATGCGAAAGTAACTCTGTCTTTCTGTCTTTCTGTCTGTCTGTCTGTCTGTCTGTCTGTCTGTCTGTCTGTCTGTCTGTCTGTCCGTCTGTCTGTCTGTCTGTCTGTCTATCTGTCTGTCTGTCTTTCTTTCACGCCTAAACTACTGAACCTATTTCTGTGTAATTTGGTACAGACATAGTTTCGAACTCGAGAAAGGACATAGCCGTTTTTAAACCAAAAAGCTAGTATTATATATTACAAAAAAAAAGCGACAAAAACACACGGGATCGAAAATTGACGGCTTTAGACCCCATTACCCAAACACGACTGAACGGCTCCGCAAGAAGTTTAGCACAGAAAGTGATTCATATATTTTTATAATCTAGAATATCATATGTACTATTTTTATCCTGGCTACACAAATTCATGCATTCTTATCTTAGATAGTAACTATCTTGAGACATACCTACTAAATATATAGAATTAACGACTCACTCAATCACGTGAATTAACTAAAAAAACCTCTACTCAAATCAAATCACAACAGAGTTTTAATTCATAAGCAGAGTGCATGCTAAGGTACCAGGTGCCTCGGCTTTTAGCAGGAGAAGGAACGTGGTGGATTTTAGTCAGTTGAGTCTGACACTCCCTCTCGCCTTACCCGCGGCGAGAAAAGTAACATTATGAAATTCCACAATAAAAAAAATCGCAGGCGTAGATATATTCTTAGTAAATTCACGTTAGTAAGTAGTCATCAAATTAACATATACTATACATCAATTGACACTGTAACATTTATTTATATGTCAATGTAACTAGCTTTTGACCGCGACTTTCTTTGCGTGGAATAGTGAATTCCTGAAGATTTTTGGTTTAAAAAACTATCCTATGTCCTTTCTCGAGTTGCGAACTATGTCTGTACCAAATTTCACATAAATAAGTTCAGTAGCTTAGGCGTGAAGAAATGACAGACAGACAGCAGACAGAGTTACTTACGCATTTATAATATTAAGTAGTATGGATTAGTACATTTATGTTCCATTTAATAAAGGGTTAGTGCAATGCCATCCGTAGTGTCCATACCGGAGTAAATACTTTGTGTTTATCCCAATAATATAAACAAAAGCTTGGTAAACAACCCAACCATTTGATACCTGTACTACTGACCGTACTGCGTGGCTTATGTTAGCGTCAAGTGCACATGCACTCGGTCTTTGATATCCACCGTCTGTTGTTCTAATACCGACAAGATGCATATACATTCACTCACACAAACACATTATTTGGTTATCAACAACTGTTGACATTGAAGTTACCAGTTTCATTATTTTTTTACTAAATCTAAATATAAGTAGCTTTTAATATAATAAACAATAATTAATAAGGATTAGATTTTTTATATTGTTTATCATCTGTGGACACTCATTATTTTTCAAAAATGAAAAATCTAGAAAGGCCAGGAATAACTATAGCTTCAATATAAGTTAAAACTAGTAAGATTCATTAAATCCTTATTCCTACTTTATGGAGCATAACTGTGATACAAAATTTAAGAAATAAACAATAACACAAGATTCTTTCGTATTTATTAAAGATATATGTATAAAAAGTAAACAAAAAATAAACCCTGACATAATTTAGCGTTGCAATATGGTAGTAGTATTAAATAATATGAAAGTAGTCTGGCTTGCAATCATTTATAAGATTAAAAACAAGTTAAATTTATACGTACTAGGTAAGCAGCATTTATACGTACACGTAAATAATTTTTAATTTCTACAAATAAACGAACTCGATAACTAGTTTCACATTACTACAATATATAGTGTATATTTAATCTAGGTATACCCAATATTACAAAATGAAGAGCTTGTTCGTTTGTTTGTTAAAAGACGCTAAGCTGAGGAATTACTGGTTCGAATTAAACAATTTGTTTTGTGTTGGATAGATTTCTCGATGAACGAAGGCTACAGGCTGTAAAAAAACAACAACAACAGCTATATGATTATTAGAAACTTAACTAACAGATAATCATATACTAATGTTTTCGACTTCCACCAGTAACGTAAAGTTACCATACTTAATTTATTGTTGTGAATGCGTCGCACCAAAGGTTGGTCACCCAAGCCAGACAAAACAAGTCTTAAGTACACACGCACTCAAGTTGCACTCACAATTATCTTATCACAAGCGGTCACTAACGAACTTTGATTTACATATTTGTAATAGAGAACTTATAGGGAGTGCACACTCGGTACATTTCAACACATCGTCGAACACAGGACGTGTTTGTATGTAGCAATATTTAATCTTATTGTTTGTTTTACTTATATATTCGCTGTAATAAAACTTCATATGGTCATTTCTTTTGTGAAAAGATCGTACGGTGGTCGATAATTAATTTGATTAATATATTTGTATTTTAAATTATGCCAAGATAAAAAGGTACATATCTACGGGACACTTTGTTATTAATTTGTAAATATTAACAATTAAACATGGAGGTACTTAAGAAATAACTTTTTTGTTTCAGAAAAAATAGCCACAATGACGGCAAACGGTGTTCGAAATCGTATGAAGAATGGGAAGAAAAGTGATGTGCCGACTACGACTAACGGAGATGTGATTCGAGATGAGGAGTTCAAAGTTCGGGATTCTCCCTTGACGGAACTGATACAATCCTCCTTGCACATAAGGGCGATATATAACATATTTGTGGTCATACTCCTCGTGTTGTTCTGCGACACCGTCATATACGACCTCGTCGAGAGAGGAAAGCAAGTAAACATTACCTATATCTACTTATAATCATTTATTTTGATCTGTGACTGACGAACTTTTTGCTAAGAACTTGTTAGCGTTGAACTAGTTTGTCGATATATTATTTTGACATGACAAGTGGAAATAAGAAGTAATTTGGTTTGATATTTTATGATCTTCACTTGTCAACTTAATCTTATTATTAGGGATCTTGAAGTCTGAAGTGGTGTATCTACATACATATGTAGGTACACTAAGCAAGAAAATTCTTGTTTCAAATTTCAAATTCGGAATAAACATTAATATTCTTAAATAGTTTTTACACCAAGAATAGTTTTCAGTCATGCAGTAAATTAATATTATCACCTTCAACTAACCCTCATGCTGCTATTATCACAACACACAAGTACAATGACCCTAAAAATAATTCGTAAAGTTTGAAAAGTGTTTTGAATGGAAATTATTTTTAAGGGTGTTGTTAAAAGTTTTTACCTTCTGACTAGCTTCAATAGTATTTAATATCAAGAATCGATATATTCATCTGCTCTTGTCGTCACAGTACCTAATAGATAGGTATATAAAAACTTAGTTTTTTCAAAATGTTGCTTAGTAAATAACTTCCGTATAACGCTTACTCGACGTTCTATTGAACTTTGGAAGTTCTATGAAGTTTGTTTGATTATTAGGTATACCTACTCACATTATTAAAAAAAACTAAGTTCTTCTATTTATTTTTCTCTGTCTATTTGCCAGTGTAATTTTCATGAAATGTACACATATTCAGAAGAATATGTATTACACGAATATACGAAGTTGTTTCCAAAAGTCGTAAGAAACGTTGCAATGGATATGTCGCCATTCGGCACCCCATCAGTAAGCACTCCCTCTAATTAACTCCGGGATGTTACTCGTTTAAATTCCAGATGCCAGATTACAGACTTTTATCTCCCAGCTTGGCAGAGACTAAATACTGCAATTTTCACTCGCGTTGCTTTAATTATGCAAAATATTTCGTGCTACGAAAAATGTGAAACAAGAAACGTAGTATTTTTTGTTACCGTCGGCGCCAAATTACGCCATTTTTTACGGCGTTAACATGCAAAAGTTTCGTTTGTACTTCATAATAATGTAAACTTGGGCATATTTTGATGGACTCGGCTGTTTTTGTGTAATGGTGTTGTTCAAAATTTACTTAATTGAGGGTTTTTTCGCAGGATTAACATAGGACTGGGGGTTATTGCAGCAGGATTTGGTGATATAAGAAGGGGAATGAAGTTATGGATGTACGACTTTTGTGTTGCTATGGCTTTTTATCCGCTGCTCGTAGCTTACGCTTGGGTAGGAAAAGTAACCAGAAAATATCCAGGTATGTTTCTCAACCTTTTATAAATAATACTTGTTTGATTTGTTTATTTGGTTACTCTAGATACGTTCTTAAAAATATCTGTTAAACGTTATTTTGTTTTGGCAAATATTTTTGATAACGGTTTGTTAAAAATTAGACATTATCTCATTATTTTTGTTGTCTTAATGTGCTCGTACCTAAAAAAACAACTGTTTGTCACTGGTCGTTAGATTTATCATTTTTAATGAACATACAAAACCTGGGCGAAGATTGAGTTTGTATATTTTCCATTAAATGATTTTACATCATCGGCCTCTTTCCACGTAGAATTAATCAACAGAGTTTAATCAAATTAATCAAAACGTTTTCTCAAGACGAATCAGCGAATTCAAACTTTGAATTATAAATAACTAACTTCCGCCTGCGGCTTCGCCCGCATAGTTTGATAAAAGTAAAAGCCTACATATGTGTTAATCCAGGGTTTACCAAATTTCAATCAAATCGGTCCAGTTGTATAGGTGGAAATAATAACAATCATTCTCATAAACTTTCACATTTATAATATTAGTTGGATAAATTCAGGTTTTCTTACTATGTTTTCCTTCACCGTACTTATCGTACTTATAATTTACTACTGCAAAAAATCAATTAAGTAGATTACCACGATTAGTATCCTTATAAGGAGTAGGAGCCGTTATCCTACGGGCCAACTCATCGACTAAAAACGCATTGAGTAGTCTTTGATTAGCAACGACTCCCGACAGATGTTAGTCATCATTAAAAATTATCATTTTATTCAATGTGGGCTTAGAGAAAATCCTATTTATTAGACAGGTGCCAATTTTTCTTCCATCTTGAGCCGCTTATTTGTGTGACAAAATAAGCTGACGTTAAGAACGTAAATAAAACTATTTATGTATATACATAATTTCGACTTGGGCAGAATAGCAGCAAGTGGCCCCGTGTCCTCATAGCAAGTGGCAGTCTTTTGTTGCAAGCGGCAGGCGGCCGGCCCGCTCTCGCGGCGCCCACTAATTAGTCACTTGGATGGCCATAACCGTGCACCCGGAATGACTAGTTTTTATACTGTTGTGCGCTTTTCACACTGATTTACATTACCTACTTTAATAAATTATATATTTCCCAAGAACGAACATAAAGTTTCGTTTAAATTGATTTGGAAGATTAAGCCTCTGCACGCTACGGTCTCGATAACTTAACTTGTAATAAAGTTAGCAATATTGTCGAGTGTCCGACCTTATGTTCACTATTTATCCCTAATGTACTCTTAATAAATAAGAAATGAACAATTTACAATTCATTTTGGGAAGCTGTTCTACATTCGAAGATCCGGAACAACATTTAATGAGTGTAACAGCTGTTACATCGAAATTAAAAAGATCAAATATTGTACGTACCTAGCTGTACGGCTATGTACGTTCAAGGGCTATATTATCAAAGAACCCTCATCTCAATAATAGCAAGCATCTGCGATAAAATCTCAAAGGTCCCGACGAAAGTACCTCAGATACAGATATTAAAAACGTTCTATTATAAAAGCCGTTCGCTTTGAATGGGGACCTTTCTCATTATATTGTATTTAACAAGGAACATCTGATGTCTACGTCTTAGGTTCCTTGTACGTGCACTCTAATCATAGACAATATCAAGATGAAAGAACGCTGTTTCGGTTTTCATTCTCATTAGATTTTTAAATAAAGAAACATCACATTAAATTCTAAAAAGATTTTATGCTAAAAATGTCACATCATCGTTTAATTTACGAGTTGGTTTCAGCTATTTACATTGTCCTTAGTTTTATGTGCACTACAGCCCGCGATACAAATCGAATTCGTTCCATTTCAATTTCTCTAGTGAATACATGGCTTAAGTTGGTGCCCTCCAATTTGCCGCATCGCAGATTCTTATACAGAACCATATATCTAGCTGCGACCGGCCCCCACCGCCTCGCTGTATCGAACTAGTCCCAATAAAGTCTTGTTATGAATACATTTCCTATGTTCCCGATTGTGTAACAAGATCAAGTCAATAAAGAATACCTATACTATGTTATTTAGTAGTTGACGTATAGAAACTTAGTTACGATTCCCATTTAGACTTGTGCTTTTCGAATGAATGATATTGTAAGGCGATGCACGTAGTTATGTTGTAAGTAAAAATTTGTATTTATTATGATAAAGCAAAAACCTGATCATAGACCTAAAGCAGAACTTTTTAAATGAGTAATGCGAGTAGCGCCACCTGCTGAGCGCTAGAACTAAATACCTAAAGAGTGGGGTTGGAAGCAAATGTATCGAAATATTAACTCGACGACAAACTTTAATAATATTTCACCAAGTTTTAATTAGGAACCTCGTCCTTTGTTGGTTTGAACCGATGAGAAAACAATTTTAAAATCATTTCTAATTTAAACTTTTTATCGGGGTCTCATCTGGGCTTAATCACGCGAATTAGGTTCACAGTTATTTGGGTGCATAACGTTTTTTTGAATAATATACAATTACAAAAAATGACTACCTACCATACAGTCAGGCATTCATTATTTCAGTTCAATCATTATTGAGATAATCTGTTGGTTCTCCGCTCAACATGTTTTTTTTTAATCTGGTACAGGAGAAAATTCTAATGTTTGAATTACTTACATCTTGAATAATTTGTTGCAGTATTACGTCCAACAGTAATAATGCTGGGTATACTCGGTGTAATTGGCGTGGAGGTGGCCGCCGCCATAGTGCCGGTCGTAGAGCTGGGCAGGAAACATCTGGAGCTCGGCTCTTCTATCACTGTTACCTGCGAAATGGTAAGTGACACAAACTATTATATGAGAATCAAATCTTTTTATGTAATGTAATAATATGATAATGTAAAATAATTTATTAACAATAACTTAACATGTACTAAGAATAAGACATTGACCCTGGTTTTTGTTGAATTACTTAATTTAAAATACTATTCCACACTTATTTGGCAATCACCACCGCATTACAGATACAACTAATAAAAGGATGCAAATATATCTTACCCCCTTAAAAAAAAAACTTCCAAAATACTACTTGCCATTGCAACCCTAACTAGGGAACTATGTATTATCGACTGCCTATTTACATACTTAGGATAACAACAAACATACCTCAGATTGCCCTGTAAACTGTACCAACATACAAACTACGTGTAGTTTACAAACCAAAGACAGTTGACAAACATCCAGTATTATACATGTGGTGCCAACGTGCTTGCCCCGCTTGGCACAGTTTCCTGAAGTAGGGCGTTATTCAATGAACGTTCCATTAACTATATATTTGAAACATAAACATGTCGCTATTATGAGCGCTTGTGGCTGGCAGCCACTCTTAAGTTTAAGCTGCGCTTGTAGGCATTCAAATAAGTCAGTTCCAACACTTTTTTCGAAGAACAGGTTTATTTTACTTGCTATCCAATTTCTCTTTCGATTGGATACGCTTTCATATAGTGTATTTAAAATAACATCCAAATTGTAAGGAAAATATTCAACTAAGGATAATACAACAAATAAGTTACAAAATTAAGGTCATTAAATGTGGAATGAATAAATTTATTAGAAATAAGCCAATATTAAAATCACTTTAATCACTAACCGTTGGAAGATATCGTTCTGAGTTTGAAGGTGACGTTGAGAGGAACTAAAGCATAACAGGCATTCGCTCACAAGATATAAGAACGACCTGCCTTCATACATATAATGGCGTACGGTGGTATCTTCGCCAATACGTCTGATTATTACAATATCCCTAAGGGTCGAACCGTTTGAAGCGATCTTCGAAAAGACCCTTTTTCAATACCTAATGGATACGTTTTTAAAATCGCAATAAAAGAGTTGTCTTTAATAACGACATCTCTAATGTATTACTTCTTCAATTCAAGGATTTCCTGTTACAAAAACTTTAAAAGATTTCTCTTTTATATGAAAAAGATAACAAAAATCAACAATTAGAAAGATATTTGAGTTTATATTGTGGCGTTCCTGAAAAATTGTAAAGTAAATACTTAGTAGGTTTCTGGACTGTTTCCTGTTTTGACGGAATTTATGTTCGCGACTTGGTTTTTAAATAAGCATAAGTAAGGATTTAAAAACATAGAATAACTAGTGCTGCAATTTAGTACATATTTTAAATGAACCGAAAACCTTAAAAAGAAACGGACAACTGAGTTTGTTTCGGAAGTTCTTTCCAGAATAGTCAAATAGGTAATGCCGGCTCCAACTGGTTTTTTATGTATATAATTGAATTGTAAAAGTGCTGTTTTATTACCTATTTGCAAAAATAAATTCGTACATTTCATATTATCGCGTAATGTGGGGATATGATATGGCTTTAAAAAAGAGAATTAATTTTCATAACATACAAGCAGGGTAAGGCGGGTGTCAGCAGCGTGTTATCGGGATCAGAAGACACGTCAATCTGGTCACAATAATGAACAGTTCGTTAGTGATATCACAGCGGGTGGCAGGCTGCCGCGCCACTGATTCATCTACATTACAAAAGGAAACTTCCAGGCGGACGCCAAACAAAGCGAACTCCGTAATACACAAACACCAACTTTCCCCTCTCCTATGTACATTATATTGTACGTATGTGTCGTAAATCCTTATTGGAGTAATTTGCAACAATAACTCGGTCCCCAACTTTTATTAGTTACGTGGACTTCGGTACATGGACTAATTGCTTGAACATATACGTTAATTTTGTTATACACTTTCTAGTTCCAAAAATAGAGCGTGGAATATAAATTATTCTCCTCATAAGTTACTCAGTTATCAACTCTTCGCGTAAATACAAAATTGAAAAGCTAAAAATATAATAAAGTTGCGTATCTCAAGGAAATTCTTCGTAACCATTATCGACTGGAAACTTTTACGCCGCAGGTTAATTAAGCTATAACTCACTCATATTGTTTAAAATTTATGAAATAATACGGCTGAAAATAAGTTGTAACATTATAAAGAGCGATGTTAGCTGAACGAGTACAAGAGCGTCGAAAGTGAAACGTTTAATAAATCACCTGAGTTGGACCCTTGTCAGGCTGCGTGGCCAGCGCCAGTAAATAACAGGATCGCCGCATGCCGCTGACGAGGCATTATGTAGCCCTGCGTAGCCTTGTACCGCCTACGAACCTTCGTAGCTCGTAGCTCACAGACCGTAACCCGTAGCCCGTAGCGCCCGCTCCAAGTCCCCTGCCTCAAGTTGGGGTATCCGACACCATTTTGTTAATTAAAATACAAACATGGGAATACATGTTAATATAACATTTCTTAAAAAGGATTTATTACTAAGGTCTTTTACTTTGTTAAAGCTACTGTTTCACTATGTATTAGAGACATTACTTACTTTGGTAAAGCATCTACAAATATGATTAAAAATGAAGTGAGAATTGTGATCACTAGTATTCCTCTCTGTTTGCGGTCTTTGTTTAATAGGTGCAATCTAGATCTTTAGACTGATTTGGAAAAACCTATAAGTTCAAATAAATTTTACATCAAGATTAACGTTATTCGATTTACAGAAACATGTTTAAGTAGTACATTATAAAAAAACGCATTATTTGTACCGCCTAAACAATGTGCTTAAGTTAAGAAGTATGCAGTATTGATCATACTATTACAGTCAATTTTACGCGAATAATACACAGCTTCCGCCAACGACTTCGCTCGCGTGGTATTATGATAAAAAAGTGTAGTCTAGCATATGTATTAATCCAGGACATGTCCTATATTGGTAAATTCCAATTCAATTTCAACGAAATCGATCTAGCTGGCAATGCGTGTAAGAATAACAAGCATACATTCTCGCAAACTTTATCATTTATAATATTATTATAGAAGGATAGGATATAAACCTAAGTTTCAATAGACTAACCATCAGTCATCCAAGTCTGAATGTCGATCAAAGTTACACGACAACTTAGTTAGTACCGTTTTGTTACAACTTTACCAGAGCACACCAACTTTAGTGACGTCATGACCTCAGCTAGCTATACGGAATGCGCTTTTATCAGAAACTCGATGCTCCTAACTATAACACAGCATATTCAAGACAACAAGTAAACAGAAACCAAGTTTAGTTACTTCAACATTGTTCCTCGCAAAATTTTCATCAACAAACGTTACTAAAATATGGTGTAAAATATTACGCCAATTATTCAATATCAACAAAACTGAACAGCTACCAAGTTTTGATTAATTGCTTCGAGAAACACCTTGCAATGTTTTAGCAAAAGAATTTAATTAAGATTGTAATTTACTGTGCCGTTATATTAAATGCGAAGAGTAGGTACGAGTAGAAGTCACGATATTTGTAAGTTTACTAGTCTGTAAGCCCATTGCCCTGTACTGGGTAGGTATTTTTGTTTTGATGTAGTTGAGAAAGGTAAACTGCGTCTTCTTGACCCGAATGACTCTACTCTATAATATGTGCTAGCGGATTAGGTACTGTAACTATTTTAATGGAACACTTGTGGTTGATACTGAACAGAATCTGTATCAAATCTCCGATCAAAGGATTCACAGATTCTATATACATATTATTACATACCTATATACTAATACACATCGAGTGGTTTGCTTTGTAATAAATACTACGCTGTATAGTATTTTGATGACGTATACACAGTGAATAGTACCTACACTGGGTTTTCGGGAATAGTAAAACACTATTACTAAAAATTCCTTTCAATCGCGGTAAATAGTGTCATCATATGTTGACAAAGCAAATGGAAATTTAAACAAAACAGTATACCTTGTTAGAGTCAGCTATATCGCTTCAAAGTAGATATTTTCAAAAATAATAATTCTTGAATAGACAATATCAAAAAAAAAAGATAATACAATAAGCATTCAAATCTCCAGTTGATTTACTTGCTTATTTTTCGTCCTTTCTATATTCGCTTTATTTATGATATTAACGTGTTTTACGTAAATATCTACCAATATTTGTTCGCCAACATTAACATAAAACCTCCTTGTTACAGTTCCGCTACATGATGAAGCTTGTGTCAGTATCTGTGGCTTGCGGGCCGCGCTGTTTGAGCGGGAACCTACCGTTACCAACCTTCAAACACTACATATACTTCATGTTCGCGCCAACACTCCTCTACAGAGATCAATATCCCAGGTAGATTAACTGCACGTTACTTGCAGAAACGCTCCACTTCTCACTAATATCCTGAGTTAGGCAACGGCGAGATGTTTGCCTGAATCCAATTATAGCTATTGAAGCTCAGAGTAAGGATGGAAACGATTGAGCTTACTGTGTGTTAAATAAATAGTAGACTTCAATTAGCAAAATAATAGAAAAATAAATATTATAACAACACAACACGAGACAACATCGATAAAAAATGAGTACATTTTGTCTCGAGTTTGAACTAAAATTGACACCACCTTAATCATTTTGTTTATCGATTACATCTTGATGATACTATTTTAGTTTGACGTTGGTATAATTGCAATCCACCCAACCATAAGAAAACAAATAATTGATATTGAACTTGGCCCTACACAACAAACTAATTCAAATATCGGCGGGGTATTGTATGGCATTCAGAATACGCGATGATGCCTAATTAAAGCCGCAAATCCACAACACTTTGGAGTAATATGTGTTGATATTGGAGCGAGGCTGTCACGATACCTGTCCTAAACAGTCGTGAGATGGTAATTCCACATAGTTCAGTCGGCGGCGGTATTTGATTTGGTATTTGCGGCTGTAAATCGCTCGATCGTCGCTTTCCCGCTAGTATTCATACCTAGTTGTCATTACCGTCGCATCCCTGCTTTCACGATGAAATTCATACTCTGCCGTCATTAAGCTCGTGAAGCGAACCGTTTTCAATTTATTTACAAACATCAGCGTGTGTATGATGTCAAACATTTATCTCTTGCGTGTTACTGAACCATTATTTATCAGAAGAGCTCTTATTAAACCTCAAAACGTAAATAGACCATTAAGCACGACTTTTACATGCATGTAATTTGCACGAATAATGAAAATAATATAATTTATTGCGTGTAAGAAAATGTAACACGCAGTTAACTCTACCGCAATTATTATTACGGTCATGTGAATGCCGCGTCAAGTGGTCAGAAGACTGTCAAGTAGGTACTTACCTATAGGTCTCTAACGAAGTAGCCCCAACTCAAAGAGGTCCAGAATACAAAACTATTTGAAAGTTCATGCCATGACTTCGGCGTTGGTGGAATAATATACGTTATGATGTACTGATCAAAATATATTTTTCTTAAAACAGAACGAAGAAGATAAGGTGGGGTGTGGTGGTATTCCATTTCCTGGAGGTTGCCGCGATTATATTCTACAATTGTTTCCTTTGGGAGAGGTTTATCATGCCCTACTGGTCTGACTACGGGAAGGAGAGAACGGTGCGTTAATCCCTCTTTTAATTACACTTTGCTTTTTATGGGCTGGCGCACGATAATTTATAACCTGTGTTACCGTTTTTATTGGATTAAAAAGTCATTAGTTAAATATTATGGCAAGAATATGCTAATATGTATCGATTCGCTGAAAGCGTTCTTCAATGTAGGTATCTACTGACAATGTGTTTCGTAAGAGCGGTAAATGATCATAATGGCATATAAGTATGTATTTTAGCATATTAATAAGATATGTACTAAGTAGTTTTTTGTACAAAGATAATTTAAGAGATTGTTAAATAAAAAGTACCTAAGCATGTTAGCGCCTATTATTGTAGGTATGATTATTGTATTCATCTCGATTTTGCTTTGTAGGTGGAAGCAGGCACGCTAGTCCGAGGGATGTTTGCATGCGTGCTGCCGGGAGTCATATCTTTCCTCTGCGGGTTCTACTGTGTGCTGCATGCCTGGCTCAACGCCTGGTCCGAGATGCTCAAGTTTGGAGACCGACTGTTCTATGAGGTACCTCATAAGTACTCTTGATAATTAGATGAGAAAGGTGCTCTATTACAGCAAACGGACAACAACAGCGTACCAAAAAATTAGCTCGGTGTATCGTTACATCAATCTTTTTAAATAATAATGTAATGACCAGATCACGCTCGGACTACTCCGTAATTAAGTAGTGATCAGACATAGCTGGGGTCGAAGGTCAAGCGCAATAAAATACCATAGCCTCAGCCTGAAGCAGGATAAGGAACGGCGCATTTAGTCAGTAAGAGACTGTCATTCCCTCTCGCCAAAACCTGGGCGATAAAAGGGATTTGATGTTTTCCGTCCACAAAAAAGTGTCCAGACATAGTGTCCTAGAATCTATTCAAGACGTAATCAACAACAATTCCCTACAGCTTCAGCTAGACAGAAAATGATCCATTGTAAAGATACAAAAGCCAATATCAACATTTGGCCAGATGATTAACAGTCTCATCAAATATCCATAGGGGGTACCTTTCACAAGTACAAAAAAGCTTATGGTTCATCATACGTACTCACTGCCCACACACAGTATAATAACCTATTCTGGTCCAAAGTATACCAAGTAAATGTTAATAGAAGGGACATGATGACACTATGTAGGTATCTAATAAGTAGGTAACCTAAGTAGGTATATGATATGAAGTAAGTGCCCCTAAGTACCTTCCCAACAGACCGCTGGCACTCAAGCTTTTCAAGTAATGTACGTGTACGTAGGTACCTAATGTAAATAGAAACGTTAAGTAATAAACAGTGTTACTCAACCAAGAGTGGCAAAAGTGCACCATGTTCTTGTCACTCCGTTTGTTTTCCTTCCTTTAACATAGGTACCCATTAAATAAACCTCTGTTTATAAACCTGTAGGCATTCATGTCGTACCAAGAAGTTTTACTTCGATATCCATTTAGGCATTTAAAATTAGGGATGGTGATCTGAGATCTGATAAATTGAATAATCAATTTTTTTTAGGATTGTGTTAAGAAGTCACCCTTTAAAATCGATATTACATTTTTCCGTTATGGTATAATATGAAGTTATTATAAGTACCAGTGTTATAATATACCAGTTAAATACCGTACTCAAAAAGTCAGAAGATGACTGTCATGTGTTAATGTGTTTAGATACGTTCACCTCAGTATTCTTCAATTCAAAAAGTAACGTTACCTTTTTTCCACCTGATAATGATACTCTTTGATGTGGTAATAAAAATAAGTACCTAATAGATTCCATGATGAAGAGATGTCTTTGAAATCGTTTTTTCTATGAATCTGTTCGTCATGGAAAGCTACACTTGGCAGCAATTAATTTTATTATTAATCTATTATCCTCATGAATTGATGTTGCCATATTGATTGTTATGAGGTTAAAGGATCAAATTACTATTTCACATTTTTAGGAAAGACTTCCGTTCAGTCCCGACATTCCAACGCTCAATGTTTTCGAATGGGAAAATCATCAATAACGGCTCAATAACGGCTCGATGTTTGGAATTGCACTCGATGTTTAGCTATGACCAGCTATGCTCGCTTCCTATTGCAATGCCTCTAATTAGATAACTGACGAAAACCGTACGGGAAATAACAGATGTTGTTTAAAAAACTTAAAACAGTCCGATGTTTGTTTCCATTTCTTTAACAAACTTACTGGATCGAATGATAGGCGACAACAACACTTTTCAAGATCGTGTTTGTTGTTTGCGTATAAATGCAACCGAAAATACAAAACTTCCGTGCAATAAAACAGCAAATATGCTCGGCCTTATATAAGAAATTTATATCGAGGTATTCTTCATTCTCTTTTGCAGGATTGGTGGACGACTTCCCAATTTTCTCTGTACTATCGTCGCTGGAACCGAGTCGTGCACTCCTGGCTCCGAGACCACATCTACATTCCCCTGGCGCCGCGTGCTGGACGTCCTTTAGCCACATACGTCGTCTTCTTGGTAAGATAAAAGAGAAAAATAAATAGATAAGAAAATCATCCCAAAATAAATCTAATTAAGTATGTAGCAAGTTTCATTATTCATCGTACCTACCAACCTACGTGAAGATAATAATTTTTGCCCTCCTGGTTGGATAGTGCAGCATATACATGTATACAAACATACACCATTTGCGAAGAACATCGTTTATCAAACTAATTGATATAAGATCTTGATCCGGTGCTAGTAATTCATCTCTAATTGAACGCCGACCCAAATGAACTGTTAATTAGATATTAACGAGGTCAACAGCCGCGCTCATTCCACCTACTTACACAATTGACAATAACTATTGTTGACTGCACTGGAAACAGAAACTGCATAACAATAAACTACTTAGATGCATTGTAACACCTGATTTACTTTAATAGAAAGAAAAGGCTATCTTCAGAACATTAATATTAAGTTTTCTTAATCAGTTTTAATAACAAAAGACGAGATGAAATGCTTTTTCTCTAGCGGTTAAAAGATAAACAAAGATCCTGTGATTCATGTCAGGGGCAAAGGGCCTTGCATGTGACAAGATAAGAGACTCCCCAGTAGTGTCGGTGCTGTCTTCAAATTATATCTGGTTCTTGTGAACAATGACCGCAGATACCTATGATTACAGTCGCGTAAACATCTTGCAAAATAAAAAGAAATTTTCGATGCACTAAGGAATAAATAGCGTACCTAAGTAGGTACCTAAATTTATATGTTTGTCTGGAGTGGTAGCCAATCTCATTACTGATGATTACTAATCGTAGTCTTTAGGTAACAAGTCACATCGAATACCACTTAAGTATTTTATACAATGGACCATCACAGATGAGTGGGAGAGTCAAGCTTCGGCACGAATGGGTCGGATCGACCGAAGTGATATCACGGCCTCACAGAATACCGGCGTGAAACAACCACGGCGTTGTGTTTCGCCGTGTGAGTGAGGTTACCGAAGACCCAATCCCGCCTCTTCCCCTATACCTTCCCGATCCTTATATCCGCAACCCCTATCCCCAAAAGACCGGCAACGCACTCGTAACTCCTTTGGTGTTGCGGGTGTCCATGGGCGGCGCTGATTGCTTACCATCAGGTAATCCGTCTGCTCGTTTGCCGACTTATACCATAAAAAAAAGATGGAACCTAATAAGGCTGATATTCAACCGGGATTGCAGGTGAAGCGCAATAATGTACCTACCACGTCTTCAGCCCAGACCTGAAAAAGAACGGGGTGGTTTTTAGTCAGTAAAAGTCTGACACACCCTTAATTACTTACCACCCAGGGAGAGAGGAGATATTTGACGATTTTTTTTTAATGTTGTCCCACATTGTGTTTTTTTCCTGTGTCATGAATGCGTTAACAGATTTTCCACATAAGGAAAAAATATACTTATGTATATTTGAGTTTATTCACTCTTAAAGACCCCATATGGCTGTGTGATAAGAGACCTTTTCACTTCACCTGAATTAATGTTAATTGATTTATCTTTGTATGATTACAGGTGTCAGCAGTAGCCCACGAGGTGATCCTAGCGTTGTCTTTCGGTTTCTTCTACCCAGTCCTGCTGGTGGAATTTGGTTTAATTGGCGTCGTGATGGTGCCACTCACAGCAAAGAGTGGCCAACTCTTCCCTAACGTTTTCAACCTAATCATGTGGCTGGGTTTCTTCATAGGAAATGGTAAATATAATCTCTACGTATTTAACGTGTACCTAGGTACTTACTAGGTTTTTTATGGTAAGGTCGGCAAACGAGCAGACGGATTACCTGATGGTAAGTAATCAGCGATGCCTATGGACATCCGCAACACCAAAGGAGTTACCACTCCTTAACGTAACTCCTTTGGTGTTGCCGGCCTTTTAGGAATAAAGATTTCGAATATTTAAGGATTGGTAAGGGATGAGGTAAGGGATTGGGCCTTTAGAGGATAAGAATTAATATCCTGAATCAGTATAATCACATACCTATCACAAACCTACAATTTTATAAATATTATTTACTCGAATTTTAATTACCTACTTATCAACTTCGTTGAATAACAGTCTGGGAGAGGATAAAATTAAATGTGAAATCTACCTATACCTAGGTATATTTAGTGATTACAAAGAGGAACATCTAAGATCTAGGTTCACAATAGCTAGCCTCGTTTTGTTGGAAATCATTTTATTATTGAATGTTGAATGCACTAACTGTGACCCGCTATTGCGACGATGCTCGTTGATGGCTTTGTTGTACCTACCTCTTTCGAATAACTATCATAGTAGGTAGGTACCTATATACTTGGTTCATAGGTACAATTTACCAGAAAAAGAAAGCAATTGGTTTTGGATGTTTTAATTTTTACATTACATTACCTTACTTGATCTTAAACTTAGACCCTAATTAAAAAAAAAAAACAAGATTTATCTTTAGCCTTAGATATCAACCATTGAGTTAGGTTTTGTAAGTATTTTAAATCTAATTCTCACCTATCTTCAATCCACAATACAAAACTGGTTTAATAGATTAGACCTACTCTAAAAAAAAAAAAATTAATAAGGCCTCGTATGCCTATTTACATACACAGGTAGGTACCCTACGAAACAGGTACATAAGAGGACCCCAGTACCCCTTGCAAATGCCCAGGATTGCCACTGTTTTAGTTTGGTCTGTTTCAATGATGTCAAAATCCCACACTACCTTAAGTATCTTTCTCCCGAAAAAGTTAGGCTCCTTTAGGTTGTCCACTTTGTCCCCGTAATAAAAAGGTACCTACCTATTTAGATGAAGAGATAATATTTACTTATCTGAACTGCCAGTCAAAGAAACACGAGTACCTATCAACTGAGAAGTTTACCTACTCAACAATGTAAGTACATGGCCAGGTACATTTCACTTTACAAATCTGTTCAAACAAGATAACTGGAAACTGGCGTTTAATTTCCGTAATCGGTTTATTTTGTTCGTAAACAGAAAATGAAACTTGAATTGAAATTTAATATTATTTGGTGTTATTTACGAGTAATAAATTTGTGTACTTAATTGAAAAGTTCAAATAAGTTCAGTCTCTATTGCACAGAAGAGAAGACTTATAATAGGTATTACCTACTGAGGAGAAATATATAGTATTTTATAGATGTTACCTGCATTTAATTTTTATATTTAGTATTTTATATGTAGATCGAGTATTTTTATATGTAGATCGAGTATTTTATACGTAGGTAATTGTAGCTTTTTTACGAAAGGCCTAGGTACAACAGTAGTAGGCGTGGTTGGCTGGCTAACCGGCTGCTGCGCCAGGTGTCGTGGATTCGATACCCGCACGAAACAAAACTTCGTAAAATCCACAGATTGTTCCGGGTCAAGTAAAAATAAAAATATGTAGTTGTATTTAAGCTAGCTTAATTCTTTTTACTAGTAAAAAGAATGTACTTTGCGCAGTCGTTTTGAGATGCGTTCCAAAACGATACGGAATTCAGTATGAAAAAAAAGAAACCCGAAAGTTAAATCGTACCTATATATAACAAAATTGTGTTTCAGGTATCCTGTGGAGTTTGTATCCGATGGAATACTTCGCTCGGCGGAATTGTCCAGTGCTGGAAACTGACAGCTACTTTATTCCAAAGTCATGGTCCTGCCCAGAAGTCATCCTGAAACCTAATTGGACATTCCAGAATCCTCTACGGATAATTAGGACATAAAAAACTGCATTAACGTCTAAAGAACTAGTGAAATTAATTGTTATACTTTTTTATTTTATAAAGAAAAATGCACGTTTGTCTTTTGTTAATTTTATTTTTAAATGTTGAATAATTTAAAAATTAAAACAACATTGTTTTTGAAATCTTTTATTGAATATAAAAAATATTAAATTTAAAATACAATAAAATTCGACATTATATCGTACTCAAGTAAATATTGTGTTAACATTACAGAATATTTTGTTTGCAACTAGAATATTTATTGTTTTTGTTTTAATGTTTTAACAACAAACAATTTTACCTATGGATAATAAAATAAATTCTATGGCCGCGTAATAACTAAAATAATATTAAACCAAAATATAATTAATCTCATGAATTTTATTCAACACTTGCTAACATCGAGTATGTTTAATTGTTTACAACTAAATACGTAATACGTCTATATTATGAAAATGAGTGTAGTTGGGCAAAACAGGAATGTAGCCAGTTATCCTATTGGAGTTAAATCGTTATATATCATCACATTAAAGGAGGGAATCTAAAAACAGTATTTGATTGATCTAAATAAAATTGATATTTGATAATAATAATTATAATGTATAGGAAAAAATATTACGAACACACCTTCAGCTACTGCCCACTGTATACTTGCCATATATTTCCATAGAGAAGCACCGTGTTAGCAGCGACACACGGCACACCAGTCTGTTAGTTACACTTCTATCAAACCACATTGGCATCACTTCACAGCCCTTACTGACTAATACAAGCACTACAAATAACGATATTACACTTAACATAAACATAAATCTAATCAATTGATGGAACACTTACATTACGAAGTCATATAAAATTATTGCAACTACATATTCAAAAACTGTGCCAATTTGTGTACTTCAGTAAAATACCTTAAAATAACTAATATGTGAGACACGTAAAGCTAAAGACTTTAGATCCAAAGGTAACAATAATCGACAAAGTCCTGATAATGTGCAGAATCAGACTTCAAGTAACAATTATATTAATGTTTGTATAATTTGTTTAAAAATTTTCTACTAAATGCACGGCAGTTGGGGACTTTGCGTATATTAACAATTTGATAGATCTTTTTATTACACAGCGGGATTGCGATCCAATTCCTTGAATAACGACGACGACATTCTGCAAGAGATAAAATAAACAAATATTAGTCCACACACAAACAATTACTACTTACATTATTTATCTAGATATTTACAAGCAGTTGACATTCAACACTACATTATAACTCACTAGATATGTTTTTATAGTAAATAATTTAATATGTAGGTATTTATTATTTAGTGATTACCCAGCGGCGGTGAAATATTGAACTACAGTACAATCCAGTTGTGCACTTAGTGTGTGTCAATAACCTTGCCCCCTATAGGTAAAGGTAAAATAAATAAAGCCCAGCTGGCAAAAACGAGACATTATTACATTATTAAGTACTGCATACTTACACAGAACAACAAGTGTGATGTAGTTTAGTATGAAATTAATTGTAATTGGTACAATTTCTGCAGACTACATTGTAATGTAACAAATAAATAACTCACTTGCTTATCATGTGCTGATATATGTAGCAGGGTATGATTGTGACGTTTACCACTGATGGGCTGGCTTCAATCACTCTAGATATTTCCTTATCTTTCATGCCCACTACATTAACAGTATTGATCTCCAGTAACTGGTGATCAGTCAATAACCCATTGCGGGCTGCAGATGAATCCTTCACAAGACCAACTATCCTGCCATCTTTGAACTGGAAACCAACATGGCCAAGAGAATCTTTGTGAAGAGTTATTGTCCTCTCAAATGGTCTGAAAATTAGAAACAAATATTTTAATTCTCTACTAAAATACCAAAATATGAAGAGGGTAAAAACACTGCAATTTCATAAAAATATGTGGGTAGTGTTCATTTCATACCTATCACGAACAGCCATAGAGATTCCGTTAGTAGGAGATTTCTTCAGTATTGCATGGCATTGGTCCATTGTCATTCCAGCTAGTGCTATGTTGTTAATCTCCAATATCTGATCTCCAAATCTGAGTCCAGCCATTGCAGCGGGACTGTTGGCAGCAACATAGCACACAAATATTCCATTGTTGACCGAGTGTAGCCTCAAACCACACTTTCCATCTTTGTCTTTACACAATACAACTGGTCTTATAGCTCCAGTCACCGTAGCCTTAGCTAAGGTTGTTGATTGAGACGACAAAGGTGCTATCAGGTTACTCACAGTTCCGCGTGGCTGAACCTGTTGATGTTGAAAAACTTTACAAACAGGTATTTTCTCAGTCATTGCACAACAAAATGGCTATTCTTAATTTTTTATAATATTGCAATGATAATAATAGTAATGCAAGTAATGAACTCAGCTTATAACGAAAAATAATTTGGTATCTATTGTCTACTTAGTAATTAAATTTGTGAGTATCCTAAGGAAAAGTCATAAACAAAAATTCCACTCTAGAAACACAAACATCACGGTTTAGAAACAAAACTTACGGTTTGCAGTTGATATTCAGGCATATTCAAAGCAATAACATCACTAGACAATTCAAGGCCCATATAGTCCCCCAGCGCTGGATAAACATGAGCGGAAGGGGCGCTGGGCACAGGGGCGGTTGGTGGCAGGCTGTACATAGGTGGTGCCGCATGATGCTGGGCCATTTGAGCCCTCGCCATGCTATCCACCTTCATATCTTCTAACGACGGATACAAAGACATCCTGATTATCAAAAGTAGCACTTATATATTCACAAAACTCGAGCGAGACGTTAAATCGACGTCTGAGACTATAACACTAACACACAGTATGAGTAATTGGAAACACAATGAATCATAACAAAAAACCCAATTGATAGGTGAAATGAATGAAGAATGAAACCAATAGGATTAGAGACGTCTGTCACACATTTTTTATGACGTCTGTCTGTTCAATGGAAATATTTTATTAGTTCTTATTAGAATCGATTACAACAGTCGAGTTGTGAATATTTTATTGGAATGAACAGTGCAATTTAAATCTTAATCTTTATTTACAAAATGTAAAAAAAATTAAAAAAAAACAAGATCTTTATTTACATAATAACAAAACCCACCACTTCTAAATTTGCTTCAATTAAGAAAAAGGTGAATAAATACATTATTCACCTTTTTTTTGTGGATTGGCTTCACCAATACGATACTAAAAATAAATACTTTTACCGTGACATAAATTGTATTTGGTTATTTTTAGTCGATTATTTAGTTGCCTTAATTATCAGTTATGTCATGTCAATGTGAAACGTCAATACTGTGAGTCAGTGTCACTTAAATATCATGTCAGATTGTCAAAAACCTATGATGGTGGTGTGATAAGTACAGTGTTATTATAATGATTATTCTTAATTAGTGTTAAACAACAGTTAAATAAAATAATTTACATTAAAAGTAATCCCTGAAAGTTTTAAGATTATGGAAGTAGCAGTTAACAAGCGAACACAGAGGTGAAGTTATAAATTATCTTGCATTTAATAGGCAAAACATTGTTTACACCTTGACGTTCGTAAGTTTTTTGATCCTTTAAACTACTAGTCGTTAATTAATCATTAATGAATCCTATTTCAGTCGATGCCGGGAATGGGAACGTGCTAGACGTAACAAATTTAACGACGCAATAAACAAACTTGGGGAAATTGTCAAAACCATACAGAAAAGTAATAATCCCGAAGAAGATTGTGAAGATGTACAGTATCCGAAAATTGAAATAATTCAGAAGGCTATAATATATTTAAACAATTTCGTACAGGAAAAAACACAATGGAGTAAGTTTTGTCATTAATAAATATTATGAGCTTGAACCTACATGTGAATGCTATTAATGGTATTGTGTTTATTGACAACGGTATAACTTTAGAATCGTGCCGCAGCAGGTGGAGAGGTGAGGAGAAAGAGGCACCCCCCCAGTACCACTCCTATGTAAAGGCCACTCATCATTTCCAAGAAAAACTATATAAGTTTATATGTAGGGGGTAATCTTTGGAACCGCTGGTCAAATTTGCCAAAATCTTTTCACTGATAAATAGCTACAATGTTTCTGAGTGCTGTAGGCTATAAAACATCATGCTAAGATCAAACAAAGTCAAAGCATCTTTATTGTGTAAACAGAGTCAAGTAGCGTGTAGGTCCCATCTTCGGCCACAAAAGGATTAACAGTATCGCTATGAGTTCACTTTCGGTGAAAAAGGCAGAGTCCCCCAGACAGTCGTAGACAAAAACCTGTATGGATGATGGTGCCCTCAGCCACATGCTTATTACTAAGAGGCACCAAAACTTCTTATTGGAAGAAAAATCGATGGTCATGAGCTTCTTCCATTTCAATACGGTAGTATATAGTGATAGTAGGCAAAAAATTGGTGTCCATTGTGTACGCTTGAGTCAATCGTAATGGCAAATAACAAAAAAAACGACTTCAAAAAGTAAACTCAAAAGCAAAAAATAAATTTACTTTGTTCAAAGTAATACATATTTTCATTTAGTTAAATAGAAAATAATATTTAATAACTATTTTATAATCTTAAAGTCGGTGCCAAGTAAAACTATAACAGTGTAAAGATATTACCTACATACCTCTTGCTAGTTTGATGATTAGGTACCTATTATATATTTTTCTAATACCTACTGTTCTTGTTTGGTATGTAGCATTAACTTGGCACCAACTTCAAAATTATAAAATAGTTATCAACACGTTAGGCGCCATGGGGCTCACCAGTGCACTCCGTTAGCGGAGGATTTGCCTTCAACATTTTTCTGTCGGCAGTCAAAGGCTTAAATATTATTTTCTATTTAACTAAACGAAAATATGTATTACTTTGAACAAAGTAAATTTATTTTTTGCTTTTGAGTGTACTTTTTGAAGTTTCACATTCACACACACACACACAGTCACACATTCAATTTCACCATTTTAAGTGATAGGCAGAGAAAGCTAGGATGCTTCTTAAAAGAGAAGATAACGGCTACTTGAGACCGAAAGTCACGGTAACTGAGTTAGTCAGCTTTCAGTGCCGTAAATCGTTGAGGAATTACCTCGACTATCAATGACCTCCATTATCAGGTATACTGCAGACCTTCATAATACATAATCCATATAGGTGCAAAGTTCTCATCAATATAAATGAATTAAGTCCAAACGCGAGATACTGTAAACCGTTCAGGAGTTCCCTGCTGTCCATCGTTCTAATCATCACACCCTCAATGACAGTCACGACCAATATTGGTGCAAAGTACTCACCAATACGAATCATTCAAGCCCAAACACAAGGCAACTACTCCAAATAGTCAAGGAGATCCCTCGACTTTCTTCCGGCTCCATCATCACAATTTGCTGCATCGTCGGGTTCGGACATCGGCAAATTATAGCGTTGTCAAAAGCCTACTAAAACCATATGCAAAAGCACCACTCGGCCCTACAATTTTTGAAAGCTCCCCTCGTTTTCTCTGGTCTTCCATCATCAGATCCTGATTTCCTTATCATGGGACCATTCTGGAACTATTTCCTATCCAACAAAAAAAGAATTATCAAAATCGGTTCATAAATAACGGAGATATCGGCGAACAAACATAAAAAAGCATATATACGGTCGAATTCAGAACCATCCTCCTTTTATAGGAAGTCGGTTAACAAATCAAGTCCAGGAGAGAAAGAAAAGTGGTCGAAAAATACCACAAGAAATTTACAACATACAAAGAGCACATTCACAAACCTCGAAGAGAAACGGAAATTAACGGAATTAATGAATGACAGATGACACACAAAATTATGTAATTTTTTCATGAATTTTAAACCACAAACAATAATATTGTGACGACTTTCGTTGTATGTAAAAACACATTTTTACGTTCCGTTTTCCCATTTAAGGTTCGAAACTTATTTTGTTATTTTCTCGAAATTTATGCATTACCTTCTAATAAGAGTGGTAGCGTCATGATCGGGGACCCAAGCCCTACAAGCTTTGACCTTTTTCGGACCCCAAATCCTGCGGCACGAAACTAAAGTCAAGCCTTAAATTCATTTTTTATTTAGTGTTTACTCGGTTTAACATATACTATAACAATTAACAGAATACATTCCACACAGAGATGTAGCTCTGGGTCCCAAACTAGGCGCAGCCTTTGTCTTGTTGACCCAAATTAGAGCACATACACATTTGAAATAATACAGACAATACCCATTTGAAATAATAATACATAATATAATTACACAAATTAATTACAGAAGCAGAAATATTAGCTCTACAAGTGGAGCTAGACTCTGAAAAGCTTAAGAAGCCACAAAGAAAAGATGCAACAACTCAAGTTTGCAGTAATTTGACCAAGAAGCGTAAAGGTAAGACACCATTTCTTTTCATTTTTTATAAGGACAAACAATATATACAAACATTCATTCTTTTTTTATAGTTGCTATTTACTTGTATTCTGCGTCGTGGTTGCCTTTACAAACACAAATTCTTACTAAAATAAACTTTGAATGCCAAACAGTTATTTAAATTGTAGTATAGTTATGTTTATGACTGCACGGTTGGCGCGGTGGCTGGGCAACTAGCTGCCGTGCAACTGTCACTTTGTATGATCCACAAATTGTTTTTTCGGGTCTGGGTGGCTTGTGTATGTGAATTTGTGTGTTTGTAAACGCACCCACGACACAGGAGAAAATCCTTGTGTGGGGCAACGATTAAAAAAAATATATAGTAAAAAAAATTTTGTATCTCTTTCAGATGGCAAATTGGTAAAGCTCCTAAGGTTAAAGAAAGTTAAAAACAAACAAGAAAAGCCACAAATTAAGCAATCACCAGTAGAAACTCCAAAAAATTTACCAATCCTTCTTCCAAGATGTAATAAAAAGGGTGAGTTATTTTGTTAATTCCACAGATTAATTTAGATTCTAGATTCTAGAATAACGACTTATTTTCATTTAAGGAATTTGTAGAGTTGTTAATACACTATTACTACCCAAACCAGTTTGTTACAGCTAGTATCTTTAGAAGTCTCATAGTGGTGAGACTTCTTGCAGACTCTTTGGTGTTAATTTTAATACTCAAAAATCCAATTATCCTTTGGTCAACTTACGGATCGTAGCAATACTTTGAACTAAAAAATTATACTGAAATCCTTTTACAGCCAAATGGTACATGTTTCAGTATATACAGTGTAATTATATGATTAGTTATTAATATATAAATAAACCCTAGTACCAAGAACATTTTTTATTTTATTACAGGTCCAGAAAACACGATAGTGGTATTGCCAGCTGCACCATACATATTCCCTCAGAGACCACTGTTGTTCCCATCTGTACCGCCCGCCATAGTTTTAATAGACCAAAATTTACAAACACTAAATAAAGCAACAGTTCCTATAGTTAATAGAAATAATGGCGATATCACAAAGACTACAATGGTTAATATTCTTCCAATATCAGCGTATTCCCGTCCACTTTCAGCCACCAAAAATAAAAAGAATAATGTAAAATTAAAAAATGATATTAATAAAAAAGTAACAAAAAAGATTAAACCGGTTGGTGCTGTTAAAGATGCGAAAACTGCGGAAATGAAAGACAATACGGCGGTTTCTAAAGAAAGTAAAACCACTGAAAGTCCTAATCAAAGTAAAAATATTGATAAATTAGTATTAAGTAAAGATAAAAACATCGAAAACAGTAAAATGACAGACCAACCAGCTAAAGAAAGCGATATACAGAAAGAAGTAAATATAAATATCGATAAACCAGATAGTAAGACGAATGCTCCTGATAAAATAAATAGTAAAACTGGGGACCATGGCATGCCTAACGATGTTGAAAAACCTAAGTCTACAGAAACAGTCGCTAAAGAAATGCCAGCGCCTATAGTGGCATCAACATCGACCACAACAATAACAAATACTAATAATGTACCTAATACAAATGAAACTGATAAACCTAATAAAATACTAGATGAAAAAGAAATCGTAACAGAAAGTAAAGAAAGCTCAAAATTGCCAAACATCTTACCTTTGGATACAACATTATGTGATAATGTCGTTGATGGAGGTAATGCTCGCCTTGAATTGGCAGAAGAGTTCCTTGCTACTTCGCCTACAGCCGCATTTCTTATGTCTTTCCCACTAGTCAGTGGAAATAGGGCAGACAGTCCTGCCGAAGAACATGGCCACAATACAGCCCAAGCTATAACTAAAGATAACAACCATAAAAGAACTGATATAGTGCCTCCACCTATACCATACTTTGAGAAGCCAAGCAATAGCGATATTAAAGTAAAACCAGTAGCGAACAAAAATCCCGAAACGTGCAATACTGCTAACAAACAAAATGAACAACAAAAATGTGTTAGCGTAGTGACAAAAGAGTCCAGTAATATGACTTCTGTTACTAAAAGCTTTAACGCAGTATCAATGCCAAGTGTTACTAATGAGAACCCGTTTTTAAATCTGTCCGCACCTTCTATAATTACTACCAGTTGTACATTAGGAGATACTTCTTTTGGTTTAGATTTTGATTGCAATATTAGCAAGTCGATGCCGAGTCAATCGACCGGCTATGTCAGCAGTAACAACTTCTTTTACAAGGGCGATCCATTTGGCAAAAGTGCTATTTACAGTACCAGCAGTATTACCTCAACTCATGAATTTAATGGACTCGGTCTATATCCTTGTGCGATGGAAAAATATACTTCGAAAAATAAACCAGAATTTTCTGGTGTAGACGACAACCTTATGAAGATTGGATCGTCAAGGTTGACTTACGATATTGACTTGGGTTGGTCACACAAGGGCTTAGATTTTGTCAACTGTCCTACAACTACGAATACGTTTAATAAGGACACAATTTTAACAACAACTGCTACGCCGTATACGTCATCGTATAATCCGTTCAACCCAGATTTCCATGTCCCGTTAGTGCCAAATTCTAACAAAAAAGATAACTCGAATAAACCTACCTCATCTTTTGCTGATACAATCACTAGTTTTTACTCTCAACCTGCTAACTTATGGACTGACGACCCACCCTTCTATACAAACAGTAATATGTCCAAATATTTAACCTCTAAAAACCAAAATTATACGTTTGACCCAGTACATACTAATGCAAATGTAAAAATAAATACAAACAAACATTACGAACCGAAAGTGGCTGAAGTTAGTGTGGAAAGTGGCATAAAAACCGGCAATAACGTTGTGACTCAACATATTTCCGAGAAATACACTAAAAAGTCTCCAAGTAAAATGCATATAAACTGGATGACATCTGAAACAAGATCCGTACAAAATAATTGCAATCCTATACATTCGCAGACTAAAGAACCTCATAAAGCAACTTACAATCAAATTGATCATCCCGTTAATAAAAAACAGGACCATAACGAAGGCAATTATTTTCCTATATCGATGCATAACTTTCCATCACAGACCCCTCAAGACGAGTTTCAAGTGTGGCCTTCTACAAGACCTTTGGGAACCACAGAGATAAGCATAGATCCACCGCCAATAAACTTACCCACCTTAGTCGGTGATCTAGCCCTAGGTCCACATGACAAGAATAGAAAAGTGGATGCAGCTAATCGTGTGACACACAGTGACATTCAGAACTGTGGTAATTTCCTATCCGTCACACAACTAATGAATCGTTCAACTGATAATATGCATTCCCGATATCAAATTCCAAATATTGATACCTCGAAAACTGGCAGTGGGAAACAAAATGCTAACCACTTTACAAATGAAAACAATCGCAAAACTATGCCACATTTAGAAAATCACATGTCACAGCCGTGTTATGTATTTAACGATCCCAAATTAATGAATACCTATGAAAGTATGACCCACAGTCAATTTGCGCCTACTAAAACAAAGTCCAACAGTAAAACAGAAAAGTCTTCGAAGACTCAAAAAAATAACAACTATTCAACAGAAGCACTATTAAGAGGAGCGAATGCTACGCAAAAAATTCAAGATAATACCGCAAAATTTATGATGACACCTCAGAAATACACTGACTTCACTACCCCACAAGAAAGTGCTGTAGCTCAAGTGTCGCATTTCCCACCCATTCTCGATTACTCTGACAATAGTTATGCTACACAACAATTTTCAGGAACAACACTATACAATACCACTACCAATACCATGTCAAATTCCTTTTACTCAAATTTTATGCCTGGCAGTAGCAACTTGATGTCAAGTAATTATGCCAGTGGACCATTCACTGGCGACTTTATTGATTACAACCAGTCAGCCGAATGCAATTATGGGAATCATAAATATGAAGAGTTGAAAATGAGAAATAATCCTACCATGTTCCAATCTGAGAAAGTACCTCCCACATATAAAGGTTCTAGGAGAGAATCGGCAACTAAACATAAACTTGAATGTTCTAAAAAAGAATCAAGTAAAAAGTATCAAAGCAAGAAAGCAAAGATAGCTAACGAGGCGGAAGAATGGAACGATTCTCATTTGTTCTGGCAAAATAAGGCATTGAATAAGAAGCATCCGAATTTAATGGCTGAAGAGTTACCATTTCCGAACTACGTGGGCAATCAAATGCCGTCGCAGTACCAGGCAGACTTCTTCAACAGTCACCTGATGCCTGCAAACGTACAGGGTATGGGACACAACGTAGACAGATCATTGGCCAGCTTTCCTGTTACGTCCCGAGCTAACTTTAATTTAAGCACCATATTTCCAGAAATTACCATGGTAAGAATCAAGTTTAGGTTCGGTTCATATTTGACGAAAAATGCATCAGATCGGAACACTAGCGCCTCATCGCTTGCCAGAAGTTCTACACATTTGCCTATTTTACGTCACTGAATGATACACGACGGATTTTCCGTCAGATGTAAATCGACCCTTATTCCGTCTGAAAATTAGGTACAATTTAAGAATAGTGATAAGGACAATATTATTTACCTCCATCTTTTAGATTTATTTTAATCATCAGACACGTATTTTTCATTTGCCACGGAATCAAATAGAAAGTATTACCATACCTTGCAGTGACGTACCTAGCTCCCCTACTCTTAAACTTTAATTCGTTCTGTTCTTAAACGAGACGACAAAATCGTGTCTGATATTTTTTCACTATCTAACTGATGGACCTTATATATTTTTATTTAATTTATGTACCTACCCTGTCATCATTACTTTTTCATAAGTGACTGTTATCTTTAAACCCATTGCTTCGTAGTTGCTCTATACATTTTGAGATACATAAACATTTGAAATTAATTAATAACAGAAAATAATTTGTTACAGAAAGTGCAATAATCAACAAAGTGATGATAAAAGCAGGTCTTCAACATCACGTTATCGTTATACGACTACATTTTAAGAAAATATTAATTTATTAACATTTAGTAACAATTTTATGATGTTATATTAAAACAATTTTACTATACCTATTACTTGTTTCTATTTTAAAAACACACGAATGTCTTCTTTCAATGACACATTATTATTAATGATCATTTCTGGAAATCGTTCGTTAAACTAAAAATACTCTTGCTTTCAAATAAAAAGCGGTTAATCTACAGATATGACCTACAAAGCAAGAGAAGCGTAGTTAATCTAATTTTGTTTCCTTCCGATTCCATCAAGCTTATAGGTAGGTACCTACCTAGTTACCTACGTACTAATACGTAATCTAGAATTGAAGTCATTATCTGGAACATTTTTAAAAAAAACTGACTCACACAGAACTTGACTTGGTTACGAACTGTTTCATTCGCTATAATAAAAAACACGTGTATTCACGTGTTTTTTATTCACAGTTATAAGTTAGTATACCTACATAGATGAATATAAGTACTGACGTATTAGTATAAAAAAAGAAACCACTTAAATACTATGTAGCACCTAGGTGCAAGTATTTATGTAAATATCTACTAATAGCAAGCAAATAACTTTTTAAGCAGTTTTATGCACAAAACGCAATCCCGGATGGCTTTATAAATGTCATAAAAGTCAGCAATTTTAAAGATACACAAATTGTTCTTTTTTTCTTTTCTAGTGGTGGTTTCCAAGTTAATTCCAGTCATGAGTTAGATCAGAGACACTGATACTATTATAATGAGATCGTCTGTCGTCTTTCTAGACAATATACTGGCATGTTTGGTTTTTGCAAACTAAGTTTGCTGTCCCTGTCTAAATGATGTCTATCTTGCAATTCTGGATATAGATATTTCGTGAAAGACACACGAAATAATGAGTCTAACTTTGCCTTAATGGCAAAACACGTCTATAAATTGTATCTAAGTGTTTTCGTCTAAGTGGTTGGAGGCCATAAGGTAGAAAAGATCAACCATCAATCCGCTATTGATTTACAAAATAAAAATCGCACTGTCCCCTAGAGGTGGGCGACGAAAGTTTGTCAATGCCCAGCAGTGGTGTCGAAAAGGTGGGAAATATCGTATTTACGAGTAGGTAAAGAAGGTTGACCAAACAACACTATTAAGTAGGTACGTAACAATTCCAAATAAACAATCTGACCTAAGTTCAGCAATACCTAACTATTAGATAAGTGAATTTATTTAATTATGAAGACAGACTTTGTAAGTATCCTTGGACTATGATATATATGAAGGTCCGAATGCTTCAGGATCTTACAAGTTGAAGCGTGGAGAGGAGGAAGTTTTAATCCATTCGATTTAAGTCGTTACACCGCGGGAGTTTGTGTACTTTGCGGGGCGTCGTGTCACCGCAGCGTGACTTAATGGTGATAGCACTAGCTTTCAAGTGGCAAAGTGGAAATCAGTGTGCAATACACTTCTAGCAAAAAATAATCTAGTTAATACTAAGTTGGTACCTACTGTTGTAGAAATAATGCAATTGAGACTCTTGAGATCATCAGACTATGACTCGTTTTAAAATAACTAAGCACAAAGTTATTCTAGCTGCGAGTGAAATAACTTTGTTTTCGCTTTACTGACACGTGATAAATTGAAAGTCTAGCAGCTGTCTTGCATCTGTGTAACGCGCTTTAGGTAAAACAAAGCACTCATTCGTCCTATCATTTTATTTAGGTACGACTGCATATTTGTGAATACTTATGCTACGAGTATGTTAATAGGTAGGCTATCTATTTTACGGGTGAGTAAGCTTTAAATTTAAATGGCTCCTCCTGTTCTGGGCGAGCAGAGTCAGAGACTAAGGTACTGTCTAAAATCCATTCTATATCTACCTACCCATAGGTGACTAGGTTACCTTTCCTTCAATACTCACTACCCGATAGATTCTATAAAGGCACCTTAGTTCATTATGGGTACATCCAGATAAACGATACAATTTGAGAAAACACTGTCATATAGGAACCTATCACCCACTTCTTAGTCACAGGCAGTCTACCTGCTCATCAAAAATCCGTAAATCTACGCCTTATGACTTAAAAAGCTGATACCTATTTAAAATGTAAAACCGCAATAAAGCTAATCAAAAACATAAACTCGAGATTTTTCTTTATAAATGGATTCAAGGGACCAGCTGAAAGCAATCGCGATAAAGACATGATTAATAGCTGAAAGATTCTCTTTGTCTTAAGTTTTTGGAATGAGCCCAGCTGATAACGATTTTTTCATTAACCCGTCACTCGAACCCTCTCAGCATTGAATGTGTATCATTTGGTACTTGGCAGGCGATGAATTGATTCATTTTCTTATCAGTTGAGCGCTTGCAGCTTACCAGCGCTGCTACCTGCCAAGTAATATTCCGAATAAATTCTTTTAAACTTTGGCAGGCAAGTTATGCACACGTTGTAAGCATTTTGATCGACGCACGTCGAATTCGCAAAGCATGAGCATTGAACATGTTTAGCATATCAAATACCAATGACAATGCCTCCAAAATGGTCAATATAATATGTGGAAGAGAAGTTCAGACGCGTATAGGTACCACACGTCTCATAATATTGTATATATATATATGTTGATATTGAAAATTAAAATAGCTCTCGGTGTATTTGTCTCTCTAACACTTTAACCAATAGTCCAATAGTCGGTATTACCAACATGTCAGTCTGTTTCATTACAGCCTAGCTTAAAACACTACTTACCTACAGACGCTGTAATTGAGGAGGCATACAGGCAATTAGATAGGCATTAAAATCACATTTATGCAAGCTTTAACTGAGGCAGGTCCAAATTGGTACCTAATGTGTTTTAATTAACACTAAATCTACCAATCGCAGTGTTAGGCTTTTGATTAATTTCGTTAATCGACAATATTTCTAAGTATTGGTAATTAGTTATAAGCTAACAGAGTCTGAGTCACTCAGAGTGATTACGTAGTCATAGATGCATTTTTAACTGCACTATCGGTCCTGTATCATGTAGCTATTTCATGGTGCAAAGTTCCAAGGTTTAAATAAAACCGTATCTATACTATAGGTACCTACTATAGATTTAACACAACTTAATTTACAGTTAATGATAGTACCGCACATACGTAGCATATGTGTTTATAGCTACTCGATGTTTGTATGTATATAATGTAGTGCGACAAGCATGCTCGCCTTGACCGCACTCCGGTTATGTATAATGCGTTCCATTCATAATGCCATATCTACATATAAGTACATAGGTAGGTATACAAAATATTCGTAATCTTTCGATTTCACTAATTCACAATAAAACGGAAGGCGAATATAAACTTTATTCATATTTCCTTCATTTAATTACATGCTTAATGATTTTGTTGGTACAATGATCATCAATGACATACATATACGCACCTAATTAACATTATTGGTAGAGCAAGATGCTGATAGATACCTAAAACACGTTCACGTAATCAGTTTTTTCCAATAGAAATTCCCAAAATTATTTCGCAATCTTTGTTCTCTTTCTAACAATTTACCTACTTAATTTAAAAATCGTCAGTTTTCCCTAAAGTTTAACAAACTTTAATATTACGAAAACTATTCAAAGCCCATCAAATAAATATCAATTATATCTAATATTAAGGAGTAGTACTTCTTATGTATAATGATAATATATCTACATATACTTACAAGCTGATAAACAATATGGTTATACTTACTTAAATTATTGTAAAGGGCTCTGGATTAATTACCAAAATAAAAAGATTTGTCTCGTGATATGAGTCAGAGCAGAGAAGTTCTGTTACAGATCAACGTCACCACAATTTCACCTTACCAGTCAAGTCAGTCAACTCTTGTAGTAGGTATTTCTCAGTTCGCCAGCCAGTCTATTACTGTCATCGGCGGACGAAACACGCGCGCTTCAGTTCCCAACTCGCGTGTCGCGTGTAAACTTTGTTATGGCGCGAAAATTTTTAAACATCGAACAAAATTCAAAAATATGATTTCATAAGACAGTTTACGTTATGTTTAGCAAAATTTAGAAAAGTATTTCGTGATTAAGTGGTGAATTTGGACATTATGAAGTTTCTAACTTGGATTTTGGTAAGTTTATTTTTTTAATAATATCTTCTTTACTTAAGCTCGGTAGTCTCAAACAATAGGTACCTATAAATACTTATTTATTAAGATTTGTTACTGATATCAATAAGACAATTAAATTTAAACAAAAAAAAATACTTTTAAAAATTATTTTTGTTATTCGCTAAAACTTTGTCGAACTTTCCGAAAAATGCAAATATTATGTATCTGGTACCCAAAAGTACTACCTACTTAATTTCCAGCTTAAATATAATTAAAATCATCCGAACATATTATGATCATATGAACTAGATACCGTCAGGTAAGTAGATCTGGAGTAAAACTAAGTGAAATTAATTATTTTTTAAATATAAGTTACATAATACGACCAACGCATTTCTGTTTCATCCTTATAGAAGATACTATAATAGCAGGTGCCTTAAATTCCAGCAAAGGGTTCTTAAATTTCAAATAAATTTATTTCTTCAAATTACTTTCAATTAAAAAGGCATTCGGTACTGTCTTACTTACCACCAATATACTTGTAGCGTAGAAACGATTAATCGATTTTTCGTAAGAGAACCATGGCACGAATGGACCGACGAAGAGAGAGAAGAAGAGGTGAGTGGAGTTAAAGAAGGCCCGATAACTCTCACCACTGCAACTGTCCCCAATCCCCAATCCCAAATCCTCTAACTTAAAAATTCTTAACAACTTACAAAAGGCTAGGCTTGTAACTGGTGTTGCAATTTCGTTTGACAACCTACCCCATAAAGGGGGTTGCATAAGCGCAATCAGGCACCCGCAACCTCGGCCTAGAGCAGGAGAAGGAACGGGGGGCTTTTAGTCAGTAAGAGTCTGACACCCCCTCCTGCCCCACCCTGGGCGGAAGAAGTCCTTTGATGATTTTCTCCTCACAAAAAAACCTACCCTATAAAAATAGGTAGGTATGTATTTACATACGTTCTCTACATAAACTTAGTCCTACAAAGTATCGATGGACACAAAATGTTTTTGTGGAAATAGCTACTTGCTAGCACCCTCACTTCCCTAACCCAATTTGTGCAGGTTGTACGAGATTATCTTAACACGAGGGGCGAGTTTAGCCAAACGGATTAACTGACTAATCCCTTTCTACTAAACTCGACTCATCCCTTGATTTTTTTCGTTAAGAAAAAGTTAGGGAGATTTTCATTATGAATGAATGATATGGACGTTAACAGAGCTTAGGTAAAAGGAATAGGCAACCAAAAACTGTTGATGAAACTCTTTATTTACTGCCTTTTTTAAATGAAATAATGTTATGAACATAATCAGTGTTTGTATCCAAAAATGCTCATGATACCCAGCTTATGAAATAATACGAAAAATGTACTGTAATGATACGTTCATGTAAATTCCTAGACCTTAAAACTCGAGTCCAAAAATGATCAAAAATTTTCTTTAAATATCTTAAGTGTTTGTCCATCCTATCCCATTGTGTTTAAGTACATGCCTTCCTAAAATAAAAACGAATCTGTAACAAATGAACCAAAATTGACGTTGCTACACTGTCCTAACAAGAAATATTTTCTGACGAAAGTACTCAATTTCCTGTGATAACAATCACAGAACTTAATAAAAATGAATGTTATTTCAAGGGGAATTTCGTCCGATCGCTTTAGAAAACTCTGCAAACTGGTTGGAAACATTAAAGACGTTTCTAAAGTAGAGTTCTAAAGTTTACACCATAATTTATAAGTATCTATTAATTTTTTACCAATACTCGCCCTCGCGTCGCGTTACGAATATGAGACATAACACAAAACGTCCTTTGGGAAAATAAAATTACGTTTCTCTCAATATACGAGCAAGAAAACGACGAGAAACGTGCAGACAGATTACCTGATGGTAAGCAATCGGCGCCGCCCATGGACAACCGCAACATCAAAGGAGTTACGAGTGCGTTGCGTCGATGTGGGAATTTGGGGATTCCAGAGGAATGAGGATGAGGATGAGGATGGATTTGGTCTCTAATAACTCTAGTCACACGACGAAACACAAGGTTGTTCAACGCTGTTATTTCATAAAGTTTGCCTCAAATTTACGTGGCTTCTCAGCAAAAAGGGATTTACAGCCCACGGGGTTCCTAGGAGAAAAAGTCTTTCCAATTAAACTTTACTAAAGAATGAAATAAATGGTTCTACAAGATACAATCATAATAGGTTTGTATAAATTAACGAAGTCTGACATTGCAGAAATTAAATAGGTAGATTCTCTTAAATAAAAAAGGAAGAAAGTGCCTTTGAATTTATTCGATAAGTTAGAGAGATAAAGTGCCCCAAGACATATTTTAAGTATCAAGTCTCTTGAAATAAGTTCTTTTTACTTTAAATTGTTAAATAATTAAAACAAAAAACTGTAAAATTTACACAAAAAGAATGAATAAGGTAACAAAAAATACGATACGTTTCAAGGAAAAGTATTATTATATAACTACTTTCATTTTGGCACGAATGCATTTGCACACGTATTCAAAAACCTTAGGTATGAGATACGTAAATTGCATTCAAAAACTACATAGGTACTCACTCGTAGGAGAGGCCTTCTGCAGTGAGTCTGTTATATATATGTCTGAGGCTGACGATAGAGACGATAAATGTATAAGTTGTTATTGTATTATTCAATCCAAATAAGTCGGTAGGTACCTATATACAAATTCAAAAACATTTACCTTTGAGTGGATTTTTGATGTCTCTAAAAATCTCAACGTCTAAAATAACTTTTCTACATTTTAATGTCTAGTTTCTGAGAGCAACAATAACAGGTTTCCGACTTGGGAATAGAGCAATAAAGATCCTACGTCTAATGAGCCTCGGGAAAATAGGAAAAACATCGGATTACTTAACTTTAACAGTTTCTGTTGCAAGTCTCAGTGAAAAGAGTTTTCAGCGAGTAGCGTTTGGCTTTGATTATTGTCTATATAGCCCTGGAAATGGCAATTAAGAACCTTGAAGTAAGAAGAATTTTATGCAATTTTCCTCCTCCGTGCCGTAAAATGACTAACACATTTATTCATGGACAACAAGTTGACCACTTTTTCGGTGATTGTACATACATCAGCTGATCGAACCGGCCGTTGCTTGGTATAGAACAATAAATGGTTTATGTCATATATGTGACATATCCAACACCGATGAAACTTCTGGAAGCCAGAAGTTAGTAGATGCAATAGATACAACCATGAAAACATCGTGATATTTACTTCTTTGTAAATAAGGGCCAAATGGCTGAGTACCTACGTGTTGGTCGTGTCTGTTGGTCTCAAGTAATATTTATAGTTTTGGAATTGTTAAATTGGGATTAGTTTATTTTTTATGTATCGGGTGTAGAATCGAAGTAGATCGAAATTAGAAGGCATTGTAATCTCGATTACAGCATCTAATGTTGAAAAGAAAATAATAGCAAAGCAATAAATAGGAAATTGAATACATAAAAACATACACAAATAGTCGTCCTACATACCATAACAGAGTAAAACTTACGATTAATATGTATCAGGTGAATTGACAAACAGGCTGCGCCGGCGCGCCTGGATCAGACATTGTTTGCCGATGATGCGGGCACAATCGATCGATGGTTCCGCAGCGTACGGGTCCACCCCGACATGCATACAAATGTTTGCTTTTCAGCCACACCTAACATATAAATCCGTAGATTAATCTAATAAATGCAAAAGGTTTGACGACCTAACTTGGTTTCAGATAGTGCCTACCTTCCTATCTATAGTAAAACTAAAGATCATAATGAAATAGTGAATTCCTTATATTGCTTCGCCATAGACAGATAAATGTATCATGTATGCCAGTGCTTTGATGTACATATATGTATATGTATTTGGAAATACCCAGTTTCGAAAAGCATTGATGACAAGTACCTAGTCACTTGAATGAAACCTTCATTTTTAATTCGCTCACGTAAGCTTTTAAAAAATCTGCATTTTATATTAGCACCTTGACAGAAAGAAATAAAATGTAAAAGATATAGTTTAACGTATTTGTCGCGAATTTCAAAAAGTGACTCCGCTAACTTATATTGGCGTTCACGTTACAAGGAATTTAATTAAACTAACTAGAAGCTTTCCCTTATCGATTTACGGAGTTGGGTATCCGATACTGATTAAATAGCTATGAGATCGCTTAGGGCTCGGAAGGGCGGAGGATAGTTTTAATGTTATATTTTGAAAATGGTTGGCAAGTTGGCGTGCGCTTGCGTCGCGTTTTGCGGGCTGTTGACGCCATGACGCGATGACGTGGTGACGCGGCAACTATGTCAATGCCGCGACCGAGTGTCGGCTCCACTATCGCATAATTCTTATCGACCTCTTCGACACATTGGAAAACAACATTGCTACTAGACACTAATCCGATCATGTGTACAGAAGAGGTCATAGGCCATTCCGAAAACATTATTAGCTATACCTCACTAACCAAACCTGATTGTAAGTTTACTGATACTTCTCATACTTAATGAGAATTAGTATCAAAATTTTAAATAGCTTTCAAATATTAAAACCCACGTATATCTTTATCGCAATTATCGGCTCAACGATTTTATCAACTCATTAAGAAGATACGTTTCTAATTCTTCTGTATAAACACCTAAACAAATTATATAAAACACATCAATGAACAATAATCGCCAATCACCAACTATGGGAAAAGGAAAACAAAACCTCACAAAAAGAAATGGGATTCCAATAGATACAAACCCTCTGAAAGGCTCATATTAAGGCCATTTGGCTAAAGTGGAAATTTCGGAGATGGCGTTAATTGAACGTAACCATCTATCCTGCCATATCCTGATGGCCGGACCACTAAAGCGAGGGAAGACTCTTCCAATAAATCTCTGATATTTATTGCAATTTCCTTTTATTCTGATTCTGGCAAAGAGTTGGATTCTTGTCTGCATCTACTAAATGTGTCGTCCCGCAATTTGTCTAATGTAAATCTTTATTACTGCCTTAGCAAACACAAAAGCAATGATTTCTTTCACCGTAGACGTTTTATAGAACCTTTAAAACCTATTATATCTGTGCTATACTATGCAATAGCACTATGGAATGTATACCAACCGTTAGAGTGTTATATTATAGTGTCATCACCTGAGCCTTAGAATTATTAAGCACATTGTTAGATAGGTACTGTTGTGCCTCTATGAACAAAGGATGTTCCTAAGCCTATAGTTTAACCTTTTTGCTCTACAAAAGGCCACGATTGTACGCATGTACTTACCTGAGTAACATGTCCAAATGAGTAAGTGGCCAATTAATCTGCGGGTCTCAAACAAGTTTCAAAATACACTGATTAATATCGGGTAACACGTAGACAGCTCGTACAACGTAATCAACCTGTTTCTAAGACAACATTAATTTGATCGTGTAGGTAAACATGGTCATTTATTACACAGCTTCGACAACATTTCGATATCGAACTGATATTGTAATCGCAATTTGCATAATACATGTGATTTGCAATGCACACACTATAGATAAGAGTAAAGCTTAGGTAAAAACTGTAATATTATTCTGTACTAGTTATTTTATATATCAATACTTTTAAAGATAGCTGTTTTCGTATTCGTAGACTTATAATGAAAACCATATAAGATACCTTAGTAATATTCAGTTCCAACTTTTTGGTCAAATCTTCTTTTATGATAGGTAAGGGTCGAACTTATTATCTTATGAAACCACTGAGTAAACAATGTTGGTATTCACGAACGTACTCTTTAGATATAGGCCTGTAAAAGTTTTACTTCTTTGGTTACCCATAAAATAAACATAAAGTAGAATAAAAGCCCGGTCAGTGTGAAATTTCCAATCATTCTTCTTCGTTCTGAACTGCCGTGGAGTCCGTCGTAGTGCTCGAAGTTCGACATCCCGTCGATCAGTAATTAGTTTCGCCGCCTGTAACAAACTTGTTATTTCGTTCTAAACTCGTAATAGCTTTTGAACTCTGCCATAAACTATCATAACTATTCTCCCAGTAAATAATATGGTCCATTAAGACTATATCTGTCTGGTGATATCGTTGAAATTGAGAAAATCTATATAGAAATTGTATAAATATCCAATCAAGAATGAATTGTGTCTGAATAGTAGGTAACTACATTTTGAACATCGGTTTTGCATTACCTATATTTGAACGTATCAATTATAGTGGTAGATATCACTTAACATAATAGGTACCAAATGATAATCGTGTAATGCAGGTTCAATGAGGCAAGCAAGGGATACTTTTATGACACTCACTCACTTAACCCGGTCATAGTTACATAAATATCTCCCACTGGGGCTATTTTTAACGACATTGTACACAAAACGAGAGCCGTCTAGTGTCGGCCGCCTGCGTGTTCAACTGCCGACACGCTGTCATGTTGATATTCTACATCAGTTTTAATACTTCCAGTTGCTATTAGTCTAAATTTTCACATCATTATCAACTAATAGAGATGTTTACTTCAAAAGAAATCAAAACAAGACGTGAGATTTTTTTTGCACTCTTGACATAAATTCGCAACATTTCGACTTTGAGTCCTTGATTGTATTTTGACATGTGTTTATAATATACGACCGGGTGTGCCTATAATTAGATTTCATCTCATTCCAACTCACGTTTGATTCGCTGTAGATTCTGTAGAAAGGAGTTCGTGTTTATAATTTTAGACAACTGTTACCTTTTGGAAACAATTTCACTTACAATCAGATGTTACTTACTTAAAGGCAATATGCCGTTGGTAACTTTCACAATGTGTGGCAAATTGTATGCTTCACATACGGTCGTGTTGCCGCTCTGTCAGACCTGTCGCCCAGACAAGTTTCGTGTACCACACATAAGTTCGTGTCGTTACGTAAACTCTTCAAGGAATAATTATTCTATGGCCGGTGGTAATTCTAACAATAATAGAAGCAAACCTACTCTGAATATTAAATACAAAACGTCTTGCTAAGTGTCAGTTATTGAGTACCCAATAAATTTACGAGTCAACGGTTTTACGTAAGTTTAAAAACAAAAAAGTGGACTTAAATGTGAGTCAAATTTAGTCATTTATTAATATCAATCAGGCTACTAAGGCTTTTAAAATACGAAGAGCATCATTCGTTAAATCGACAAAAAAATAGGTAGATAATGTACCTAACATTATCTTCTAAATGATCCGTTACCCACAGCAAAAATTCACGCGATATCCATCTACAATAGTACCTACATACGCAATGCGCTCGAGTTCGAACAATACACTTTCCCTAATTCCCCTATTATATGGAAATTTGGCAGTTGAGATTTCAAGGATATGACTTTGACATCCCCATTAAGCTCTGTAATAGAATGTCGTTATTAAATCTGGGGCGGTTATGTCGCAAATGTGTATAATTTGGGACGATAAACATTAGTAAGCTTAAAAGGCCGGGACGTGTGTTTCAAGTTGGTTCCATCCGAAGCTTGCCATTTTACGAGCTGGCAATATTGGAAAAATGTTGGTGGCACGTGCACTCCAAACGATTTGCTGCCACGAGTTTTTTTTTAATTGCTTAGCTCCACTTCACTTCCTTGTTCCATTTTTCTGGTATAAAATATTGGTCGCTCCGTAATTTGTTGTCACTTTTTGCCTGGAACAGTTTTAATTATTATCTGATTATAATAGGCTACTAATGTTGGATATGAATGATAAATACATCTGAAGACCTTATGTATATTCATTAAATTTATTTTTTCTTAAAAGGTTGGTCGTAGCTACGTATTACAAAAGACACTGCAGACAAATAGCAAAGGTAGAAAACTACAAAAAGATTTAGCTACAGTTAAGCTTACTTCTATTATTTAAACAGAGCTGTGCATACCATCGTTTGATCAAAGTACACATTTATTATAGATTCAGATCTAGCCTATAATTCAAACATTATAGGCTAGGTCTGAATCTATAATAAATGTGTCCCTTGTCGTTATTTAATGCGACTAAAGGAAGATGATTTTGTTCGCAGTGGCATTGGTGCTGGGGATTACTGGTTCTTACAGTTAAATATTCATATGGAGAAAAGTTCACACTTGGCTATTTGACGGGATCAGAACGAAGACCAGGAGACTACAGTTATCAGCGGCCCGGGAGAGTCATATCAGGTACGATCACCAACTTATTTGTATGAACCCATAAAGACCAGCAGACAAATGAAAATGACTAACAAAGGACTTTAAATAAAGTATCCACTTAAAAGTTCAACACGTTAGTTTATATGCAAACTAGGTACTTAATTTCACCAAGTTCTAAAGTAAAATATCCGTCCAAAACGTCTCGCCCGTTATGTGCAACTTTAAGAGCTTTACCATGTCGATAAATTTTCCATTAACGTCAACCGACCGACACTATCTCCAGTGACTCGAGTTTTTAGTAAAATAGTTCTTCAGAGAATAATGAAGAACCGCAAAAACGACAAAAGGCTTCAAATGCTTTTGTTTACGAGCTATACAAACCATACTGTACTCACGTATTCACAACATCACATCATATAGAAGCCATAAATGTGCATTTGTATGTTTTGACTGACAAATCGAATCGGATCGACAAGATTGATGACGGCAATATTTGGCGCCGAATTCACTGTATGAAATAATTTGGTAATGCAAATATACACACTCGTGTACGACCAAATACAAATGTTGATATCACAATTTCAAATATTTTCCAGTATTAAATAGTTTATTTCGTTCAAAATAGGTGCAATATCGATGGCGATTGACGAGGTCAACGAGAAACTCCTCGGGCCAATGGGTCACTCCTTGGACTTCGTCGTCGCAGAGACATACGGACAAGAAGAGGTCTCCATTCGGCAGGTGCGTCCCTTTTTCAATAAATAACACTTTACCAACACCTTCATGGACGTTAACTTGAATTGTGAAGAAGGAAATCTTTTAAAAGTATTCCAATTTAGTCCGTAGATACTTTTTTCCAATCGGTTGCAAAATTACTTGGGAGTTCATTGGAAGTGCCCCTGCCCACTCACTCGATGACCATTATTCTTTCACAGGTTGTGAACACAGATTACTCTCGGGAAATGTTATATTATTGGTGATATCTTAGGGCGATAGTTTCTATCGCAATCCTCTTCAATAGCGAACATAAAATATCGTAAAATATTTTATAGCTAACAAAAAGAAATATATAAATCATATTTGTTTATAACCAGTTAAAACTTATAGGCAATCTAAATGGCGAATATTCGGCGTTCATATTTTATTCTTCGTAAAAAGTCGGGCGTCGTGTACAACAAGCTGTCACCATAATTCACACCAAACTTTATTACATATTGAATTATGGTTGATACGATGTAACCAGAGGCTAGACAATCGATAAGTACCTACTCGATAACATCTACGATTATGAGATGCAAGTTTTGTGCCAATAATCTACGTAAGAACTAAAGAAAAATATTAAGAAATGGGAAAGTTGGGACATTAATCAATTGTAAGCAGCAGTAAATAGGTCGGACGTCTCGGTAATACGATGCGCAGTAAGCACAAGTTTTATGGGCAATATAGTGCAGTTAAACTGTGCTATAACTCTGTGGCGCTAAATGTGCCAGGAATTAAATCTACAGTATCTGGAAGAAGTTACCTAAAATTTTGCGTTTTTACTCCGAGGGGTTTCAGTACTAAAAGACTTTTCGCCAGCCGTGACATTAATTATATTATATACACTGAGAAAAATAAAATACAATTCCAATTCCACGGTTGAAATGTTTTAAATTCATAAATCTAACTGGAAATTTCTTCGATCCAGGATTCTAATCCAACCCATTTTGTTAGACGGCCGGTTTTGTAACCACTCAACTAAAGGCAACTAGCAACTTGCCCAATACAAAACCACAACCCAATAAAATAATTATAGTAGGTACTTACTTTGCTAATTCACATTGAAAAACCTTTTCATTAAACTAGCTTACCTATAAACAAGGTTCAGCCGGGGTTGCCGGTAAAGCGCAATAGCGCATCCCGGATTCAGCCTAGAGTGGCAGAAAAAACGGGGTAGTTTTTAGTCTGTGTCCCTCTCCCTATCGAACCATCCCAGGCGAGAGAAGATTCATCAATTGATGATTATCCCCACTCAAAAAAAACCTATAAAGGAGGTGGTTAATTACACGTACATCGAGTTTTCTGCTCACGTAAACGCTAACTACTATACTATTAATGCTTGTTTAATGTTAATGTTTATTCTTTAATCCACTTAGAGAATATCTAAACAGCATGTTCGTTGTAAAACAAAGCTTTATTTCAGTACTGTAATGTAGTAAAGGTCACTGATAATAAGGCTTATCTACACTTGAAACTTCTAACATACCTAATACAGCGGATGCATCACCGACCAGAAATAATTCCATGGTTATTCCTGCAAAAGCAATGACCTACAAATGGTGGCCATCGAAATGCAAAACACGTGCACGTCATTGAAGCATCTTATTAGTTTAATTCAAGCCAATCTGCATCAGGCCACTTTGGCGCATGCGTGTACGTAAATTATCCACTTACCAGCAAATAAACATTACCAATAAGAAATCGCGATAAGTGGATAGGTCATACTCGTAGGTATATCTGGAAATGTTCTAGTGATATAAAATAACTTTATTATGGTCTGATCATGTTCATTCAGAAGATTCCAAATGACGTACATCTTAAAGTCTTCGATTGAATCGCAAGTGCATTTAAATCGAATAAATTGTCTTTCCCCCGAACGGCAAACCGCAAGCACACTTCAACGTAGAGTCCTGTAATCCGGCAGAAATCTTGATTCCATTCCAATATGGAGCATAAAATAAAATACGGCCTCAATATCTTTTTACTGTATATTGTGAAAGAGAGCAAGTAAAGAAGATTGGGTCAGTATTAATGCCACCCTCTGTTCGCTGCCTGACGTATCAGCCTGGCTAACGCATAAAATGGTAATCGTGGATTCCTTACCGACTCACCGAGACTCTCGCGTATTTTCTTCCAACTTTTATAAGTGCTTTGATGTTTTCCAATACTTTTTTGCAAACCGATAAACGACAAGTTCCTGAAAGAACATGTCTGATACTACTTACTCTCACTGACAACTTATTTACATTACGAATATGTTGGAACTAGTTACAAAAATGAGGCATCTTTGTAAGTATAACAAACATCACTCAATGTTTCTTTTGATCTCGTTTTGTTTATATAAATGTATATCGTTCCAACTCTGTAAGTAACTGCATGTAGAACAGGAAATATCGAACATAAATTTCACTGTTACAGGAAACACTATCTTTACAAACTTTTATCTATTAGGGGTATTTGTCTGCGAAATTGATGTTGTCGCGTAAACTTGACAGTAGACTCGTCGGGGGTTCCGTAAAAAAACGGGAGCATAACTCGCTGTCTCCCGCTTGCTTTGCCATGTAGGATCTTGTTATATAGCACACGACTATCCTTATGGAAACTCAAAGAACAAAATCGATCACATAACTATGGTATTAACGATATTGACACGTGTGCTTATGCAGTACCATACACATATATTGGAAAGTGGCTTCGTCTGCGTGCCGATACTCTATGCAGAAATTACAATAGATAACTAGGTACCTCAATGCCATTGTGAGTAAGATAATATACATAATAGCTGTTTGCGTCTAGGTATCTACAGCAAAAACATTACGACTGCTAATTGCTCGAAGCCATTATCAGTGTCCGTGTGCCCTCAATTGTAAATAATAATAAAATATTCTGTTCCTTTAATCGTCAACTCATTTTCTAGCCTCTTGCGAGGATTTTCCCTTCTACGATAAATATTCTTTTTCTCTAGTTGCAAACTTTTAACAGATAATAATGTTTCGTTTCCTTTGCTCAGCTTGGCGTTCAGCAATGCGTAATAAATTAAGTAACTCGAGCCCTCCGAAGTTGATTGTAAGATATTTATTGTTATGGGATAACTGCCAGTAAATGGGGAACAGAATACTGGCATTAGAGAAATGTGCTCATAAAACTCTTTACAGATAAACAAATGCAAGAAGTATATATTCTCGTAGATAATTATGACAGTGCAGCCTTTTTGGTTTTTGAAGGGGGAATCAACAAATCACTTTGTAACAAGTGTTATTTCTGTTGTAAGTACGATTTAGGTACTCAATTGTAAAACTGAAAGGCTTTAAAAAAGGAAAAGCAATAAACCATTATGTAGGTATGTGACTTTGTTGCATTATCAGCATAACTAAGATATTAGTACGAATGGCACGTTGTCTACCTGTATTCAATTCACTAAGTACGATCTGTTTCCATTGTTTAGTGCTTAGGAAGTTAGGACGCGACTAAACCACACGTAGTTTTAGCCACTGAAGCTGAAACTTTTAGCTAAGTTGAAAAGTTAATTAACAAAACATTTAGCAACGACCATGCCGTCGGACATTTTAAAGTTGCATCGTTAAGTTTTTACAACTGCTGCAGAAGCGACTTATGATATAACTTATTTTACGAGTCGACAACTCGCGGACGGACCGAGAATCTTGTGGAAATACTTTTTAATTTATTTAGTAATAATATGATATTGTGAAGTGGCTGCTCGGCTGGTTCGCTGCTTTATGTTCTCGGTAATTACAGTCCTTCAGGTAGGAAGATTGTTATATAAATATAAACCTTACCATGTTGCAGAATTTGAGAGAATCTCCTGTTACCGTGCTTTCATTTCCACGAATGTGAAACCTCCACCTACGTGGCTAATGGCAAATTTTAAATAAAAAAAACGTTGTATTTTTTCCAACTTTAGTTAGCTTTCTATTCAAAATACCGTTTAGTATAAAACTTCATCTTTTCTAGATGTGCTGTAGAACATAATAAATCAACTATGTAATGTAAAAATATAAACAAGCCACAAGATTAACTGGGTCATACGTTAACTATGAAGCGCTAACAATGTTAATTGTAAAAACTAACAGCTACATGGATAAATAACACAGAAATAATATTATGTTGTAGTAAAAACTAATGAAGTAGGCAGCTACGCAGCTATGCATAATCGTCACATTTTGTACAGAGGTGCGTTAGTTCGTTTTCTTACTACCTACTTGGTAAGGGTTATTTAGAATGTTTTTACTTATCCAGATCGTTTAAACAGAGTCCGAAACAGTGAGAAAATATTAATTGCCTTCTCTCGCCCAGGGTATGGCGACTATAGCGAGAGCCCGAGCGTACGGTGCGTAGCGTTCCGCGCGCGCCTCAAAGAGCCAATAGACCACCACAGACAGGGCCCTATAGGACTGATGTTCAGCCGGGGTTGCGGGGTAAGCGCAATGAGACCACCCACCCTACAGATATGTTTATTGTAGCTGGAGATTTCAACTTAGGCAGCGACGTGGAATGGTGTAATTCAAATGATGACCCTGAATTGCGGCCTACGAATATATCTTCTCGACATATTTTAGATTTTTTTGACACCATAAATACATGTAACTTAGTACAGTTCAATGGTGAGCGTAATATCAACAATAGACTTCTTGACCTTGTCTTCTCAAACGGTGCAATTAAAGTGAGTGAGTGTATCGACCCTTTAGCGGTACCTATCGACTTGCATCACAAACCACTGGTAATCAACGCTGATTTCGTGGAAACTCATAAATACATAGAAAACCACAACACAAAATACATGTTTCACCGAGGCGATTACCTTGCCATTACATCTGCACTTGATACCATAGACTGGACTTCATTGTTGACTGTTGGTTCCTTGGATCAGGCCGTTGGTATTTTCTATGATAAGATATACGAACTAAGAGACTTGTACATCCCAGTTAAGTCACTTAAAAAGTCATCTCATCCTATTTGGTACAGCAGCGCGTTAGTTAAAATATTAAGAGAAAAATATAAATTTCATAGAAAATATAAAAACTACGGTAATTTGTCAGACTATAACTATTTTTCTATCCTGCGAAATCGAGCCAAACATTTAGAGAGGGAGTGTTTTGATGCTTACTTAGATAAAATTGAAAAATCCATTGCCAAGAACCCAAAAGTATTTTGGTCGTATATAAAAAACAAAAAAAGTTGCGACACATTACCAAAGGTTCTGTATCACTTGGACATATCTGCAGATACTGGCGAGGGAATCACTGAACTATTTGCTTCATTTTTTCAATCGACATTTCAAGAACATGATTCTGAACCCATCAGTCTGGACAGTGCCATAAACTACGCTTCCACAAGCTCAATGAATCTTGGTTCAATAGACGTGTGTCCGGCCACGGTTTTAAAGTTACTTAAAGGACTTGATCCCTCTAAATCTGGTGGGCCAGATATGATGCCTCCCATTTTTATTATTAATTGCGCAAAAAGCCTTGTAACACCTGTTTGCTTACTGTTTGAGCGGTCTCTGAGAGAAGGCGTCGTTCCTAAGATTTGGAAATCGGCATTCATTACGCCGATCTTTAAGAAAGGTGATAAATCTAATATATCTATCGACCCATATCTAAATTATGCCTGCTCTCCAAGGTGCTGGAGCGAGTAGTTCACACACAGCTCTATGCAGCTATGGAATGCCAATTTAGCAACGAACAGCATGGCTTCCTTAGAAAGCGGTCAACTACTTCCAACCTGATATTGTCAAATGAAATCATAACTGCTGGGATGGATGGTCGATACCAGGTTGATGTGATATACACTGACTACAGTAAGTGTTTCGATCGTATAGATCACCGTGTTCTTCTTCAGAAGCTACTGTCCGTTGGAATACATGGTGATCTATTTAGATGGTTCTGTTCATATATAGACAATCGCACCCAGGCTGTAGTTTTGCGAGGGTATACGTCCAAATGGAATTTTGTTCCATCCGGGGTACCTCAAGGCTCCATCTTAGGACCTTTATTGTTCACTATATTTATATCAGACATTAAAAAGTGCTTCAAAAACTCACATATTCTTTTATACGCAGATGATATGAAGGTCCTCAAGTTGGTACGTAATTTATCTGATACTGCAGAACTCCAGTCCGATCTTGACAGGTTTATATCCTACTGTAAAAATAATAAACTACAACTAAATGCTTCCAAGTGTTACCAGGTAGTGTTTTCTCGACGGAATTCTGTGATTGGACCTGGATATACGTTAGACGGACATATCATCACTAAAGTTAATAATATAAGAGATCTTGGCGTATTACACGACAGTAAACTTCTTTTTGATAGCCACATAGAATCAATTGTTAATAAAGCATCTAAGGCTAAATAGGATTATAATAAGAAATTGCTCCGTTTTTCGCTCTCTGAAACCCATTAAAGTTCTGTATTGCTCTTTCGTGCGCAGCCACCTTGAGTACGCTTCTCAAGTTTGGAATCCTCAGTACGAGATCTACAAATCTCGTATTGAGCATGTCCAAAGAAAATTCATGAGGTATTTGGATAATAAAGCAAAACAATTTTCAAATGATTATGATCACCGTTGTAAACGGTACCATTTTTTGCCATTGGAAACTAGACGTAATATTAGTGATATTTGTTTTCTAGCGAACATAGCAAATGGCTCTATTGACTGTCCTGATTTACTTTGCAAAATTTTTATTCGGACAAATCAAAATAACCTGAGAAAAAGACCACTACTACAAGCACCAACTGCTTCTACTAATTACAGACGTAACGCCTTTTGCATACGCTCTGTGAAAGCTTTTAATAATTTAGCATCACATTTGGAAATTGATTTATTTAACACTAGCGCACGTAAAATTGGAGATATCCTGAGTAAGGACTATTTTGGTGACGAAAGGCAATAAATTCAATTTTAATGTCAAACTGCTTGGCACAATGCTGACACAATCTCCTGGCTCTGTATTTTTATTTTTAGACTATTATGTTTCTTTTCTTGTTTGTTTTTTTTTTCTGTTTATGTACTTAACAAATACTATATGAGATTTGCTGATTGCTAACATATATGTGGAAGCTTTTAATTAGCAATTGTCCGCTAGCATAAAATACAGTATTTATTTTTGTTATAAGTCTGTAAGCTTTCTGTAAAATAAAGTAAATATAAATAAATAAATAAATAAATGAGGCACCGCGACCTCGGCCCAGAGCAGGAGAAGGAACAGGGCGGTTTTTAGTCAGTAAGAGTCTGACACTCCCTCCCGCCCGGCCTTGTGCGGAAGAAGTCATTTGATGATTTTCCCCTCCCAAAAAAACAAGGGTATGGCGAGAGAAAACGTCAGACTCTTATTGACTTAAAATCAACCCCCCGTTCCTTCTCCTGCTAGGCCGAGGCCGCAGTACGTTATTGCGCTTGACTCACAACCCCGGCCTCTTTTCTGGATCGTTAAATTAGTTTAAAAGAAAGTTAAACCTAAGACCTTCATGTAGGAAGTCACTGAACCATTATTGTTATTTGTAATCTGTTTCTACATACAATGTTTTCTGAAGTGTAAACAAGGATTGCGTTCTACAGGTGGCGGCTTTGTGGGCAGCCAATGTATCGGCGTTCATTGGACCGCAAGAGACGTGTGTGCATGAAGGGCGCATGGCCGCAGCTTTTAATCTCCCCATGGTTAGCTATGTAAGTACATAACCTACGTTAAGGCCCTGGCCCTATTCCATTAATGATATTTAACTAATTTAATGATATCTTCTAATTGTTGGAAACCCTGGCCTACCTACAGGAGTTAGACGGGATTATCTATTCCAAAGAACCTAGCTAGTCCACACACCGCTCCAAAATGAAAAATCAACTGCACTGGCGCGGTGGCTGGGCAACTGGCTGCCGTGCGACGGTACGAAAGTTCGATTTCCGCACGGAACTAAATTTTGTGTGATCCACAAGTTGTTGTTTTGCGTCTGGGTGCCTTGTGTATGTGAAATTGTATATTTGTAAACTCACCCACGACACAGGATAAAATCCTTGTGAGGGTAAACCTTCATTTTTAAGAAAAAAAAAAGAAAATAAACAACAAGACAGCTGTCGTGTTTACTAAAGCCATTCATGTAAATCGGCCCTAACGTAATCCTAACGACGTCAACCGCTGACATGACATGGAAGAGGCTGTTCCATTTCCATACTAAAATGTTCACCGTCCATTACAGGCTCATGTCTTGTCAATGTTTGCCCAACTAGATCGGTGATCGATCAACTGTCAAATTGCAATTTAGCTTCATAGGCTTCTCCATTCATACATAAATGACAAGGTTATAGCATAAAAGGCTTTTTACAACATGCGGTATGATAGGTGTGAGTAATTGCCAATAACTGGTTACTTTACCGCTACTTAACTTTAAAAGCAGATACTCATTGAGATAAGATATTAATCAGTATCTCTGATTAAAACTAAGCAAACATTTTGACTTGGTATTGGTAAGGCCATAATACACAACATATTATAAGCGTATATTTTTTTATAAAAACTTTGCGCCGCACTAGTATGTTCTCCTGTATCGTGGGTGCGTCTACAAACATACAAATTCACATACACAAGCACACAATTTGTGGATCGCAAAAAGTGTTGTTTCGTGTGAGAATCGAACCCGTGCAGTCAAAAACAAATACATAATATGCAAAGAAGATTCTACCAATTTTCGCTCCCAGATCACCTCCAGCTATGAACGCTTGCTATGCGTATAAGTGGACTTCCTGGTTCATGGTGTCCAAAAACCGAAATTACTCTAAGCAAGTTCAATTATTGTTAAGTATATTACATATACAGTTACTCGAAAGAAAAACATAAATATATTACTCATATATAACCATTTACGATATTTAGATGCAGTTAAAACTTGCCATTTTCTCAATAGGCAGACTGCCAAGATCTCTCTAGAATTAATCGAGAAAGAACAATACACGTTATTGACGTCGAGTTTAAGGCAACAGAACAGCGAATGCAGTCAATGCCTTATGTTAATGTAATCACATTAACTATCAAGGGTCCTCACACACTCCACAAAGCAACACTAGGTATTGTGTATGGCTATAGATTGTTAGATAGACTGTTAGGATATGTAATACATGCATATATTTCCACTCCATCCCTTTTTACCTCCTTACTTTAATAGATAAATCATTCTGAAGTCAATCTTTTGAAATTTGAAACCTTAAGAAATTAAATGTTAGGGAAAATATTTAGTTTTAATTCCGCGACAAAAATCCAGGCTTGTTGCAGGATGCAATCCCACTCCTATGCAATCATGCATATGCACATGCAGCAAGGGTCCCACCCTCCCGCCCACATGCATATGCACACATACACAAAACGGAAAAACATGCCACGCAATCAAACCTATACTCGACACGTGTTTCGCCCCTCCACAGGGCATCCTCAGGAGATGTTGACTCGACGAGCGCTCGGCTGCGAAACTAAATATTTTCCCTAACATTTAATGTCATGGATTTCCGCAAAGTAACGCCTGATTCTATAAATTACCTTAAGAAATGGCTAAATAATTTGTAAAGTAGTAATTACGAAAACTATTAAACGACATTCGATGAACTAAGAACGAAATTAGAAAACTATACCTTTTTGTAAAATGGAATATACCTAGAGGGGGTTTTTAAAGAATTCATTTAAAACAAATTGTTGCATAACTTCTTACAACTATTAATAATTAGGTATCGAAATTAATTAGATTACTAAGCTACACAGGCACATTTACTTCTCTTGTTTTCTTGTCTCTACGTCACACGACTCTGTACAGTTGGTGCAGTGCAATGGATTTCTCCATATATTTACTTAGCCCCTTTTACAGTTTATTTGTATTGTATTTTGTTTATTTGTCCCGCAGTACTGCCGCGATGTTGCCAGCTCAAACAAACGCGTATACTCGACGTTCGCGCGAACCAGGCCGTCGGACATCGACATCTCCCGCTCTGTGGTCGCCGTGCTCACGCATTTCAATTTCATGCATGTAAACATTGCCTATATAACAATACATTACACATTTTTTTTTAATACTCTTCGTTTCTTAGTACCTACTCACTTATTCTAACTCACACTCTTTGTGGATGTAGTACCTATGTGGTTCTTAAAACTCTACCAAACTCTCAGTTTTAAAAAGCTTATTCCAGAAGCGTGATTTTTACAAGAAGATAATTTACGATATATTATTGTTAATGATATTTCAAGCGCCATAACATACTTAAATGTTGTTATAAAAATAAGGGAAGTTGAAAGGCCCTTAATCCCTTTGATCCTAGTCACCGTATAATTGGATCATTTTTGTTGTTTGTTAGCATTAGCGTTTGTCAAAGGGAAATCTCTAAACCTTGAAATCCAAACTAATTTATCCTCTTTTGTAGGTGGCTTTTCTGTATCTGAAAGCTCCAAATCATGACTTTTCGCGACTAGCGAATGCAATAATAGCGGCGCTCAGGGAGAAACAAATAACAGTCCGACCGGTGCAAGTGTACCGACAGCCTTACTACTACGAGAACAGACGGGAGAACTTCAGCCGAAATCCTTTCCTGGACATCGTTCGGGAAACTTATAAGGAAACCAGAAGTAGGTGTCAACTTAATTTCATTTAAATTTATAAAATGTGAACCTTCTATCCATAGCAATAAAGTTTAAAAACCGCCTTCCCCCTCGATCACCTGACTTACGATCACGTGACCGTGTATAAAGTTTATTTTCGCCATTATTTGAAAGACAAAATCAAACACAATCTTTGCTTCTTTTTCTAGTGCAGTATATACTAATATATAATATTTTTCATTATAATGTGACGCATAATTTTGATCAAACATTTTGTCGGTTATTACACTAAACAGTTTACAACACAAAACTATGTTACAGTTTACGTGTCTGTTGGATATTATCACGACCACATCGGATTAATGTTGGCACTGGACGCTATGCAGCTTCTAGATTCAGGTATTTTCATATATATTAATACCTATGTTAAGCCTAGTGCATGTTACCATAAATATTAACATTATAAATATTATTTTCGCAAAGACTGTCTTATACATATATATGTTCTGCATTTCCCTTCCTGAATAAAACTTTTTCATCACAATAAGACATGGGATTCATATCATCAATCTGTTTGCACCAACATCAAGATATTTTCCTGATTACGTAGATAAGTAGGTATTGATACCGAAAGGATATTTACTCAAATTTGGGTCGTATTTGCACATTTGAATTGGTTGAAGCTTTTATTTTTACCTTACGCCTAGAGCGTAGGATTTCTTCGTAAAAAAACAGATTAAGTTTTTCTAAAGCTATACTTTTATACAATTTTACTTTGGAGAAAATTACGAATAGGTAATAGGAAATAAATATTACATTTACATATTGCAATCGAATCGTCCATGTTCGGGTGCTACAAAGATCATAAATTATGAGCTTGCTTTTTATTTTCCTTCAAAAATCTACTCACTCAAAGCATTTTACGTACCTATTTCAATGTATTAGTAAACCTGAAGTGTGGGAGAGCCATCCTTCGGCACGAATGGGTCGGCTCGACCGGAGTGATACCACGGCCTCACAGAAGTACGGCGTGAAACAACCACAGCGTTGTCCTCAATCCCTAAATCTCCAAATCCCTAAAACCTAAAAGGTCGGCAACGCACTCGTAACTCCTTTGGTGTTGCGGGTGTCCATGGGCGGCGCCGATTGCTTACCATTAGGTAATCCGTCTGCTCGTTTGCCGTCCAATTACATAAAAAAGCCTTTCTAAATTCTCAAATTATTTATTTATTACTTAATTCCCACATTATATTCAAAGGACTCGATTAGGGTTGTCAACCGATATATCAAGGAGTGACTGTGCAAGTGAAAATCCCGACTACGTGCTCAATTTCCATAAGCTTACGAGTGATATATTCGTCTAGATCTTCCCATTGTTAAACTGACACATAGACCCATTATTTGACGAGAAAAGCCTTTAGCTACATTCTTCACGATTCATGACCAGCCTTTATGGTGTGCTGAAAATCAATATGAATGTTACTTCTGATGGTGCCCTCGCTACTTAAGGTTGGTTTGTTTTGTAGCTGTATTGGACGACGCCAAAATATATATATTTTTTTATTTGGTTATTCATAAAATCATTGTTTTTGTTGTTATTGCAACTTCACAACGTTTAAATACCTACATTCAACAAATCCAGATACTCAGATCTCTAAAAAATCTTGTACCTAGATATGATTTGAAAATCTTAGTTGTGAACGCAGAAAATATTTTCTACTCTTATATTATTCCATTTTGTACGAAGTAGTGTTCGAAATCTATACAAAATGTACGGAAAAGGGCCCTAAACAAACATAGAGAGAAGTTCATTCAAACGAAAACATCAACACACGCCTAAAAATGCCAGCGACACTGTATCGAAGCTATTTCAGAGGTTTCCTCAAACATATTTCACGAAAATAGAAAAGAGGAACAGTCATGTTTGTGACAGATAACTAATAAACTGATTCTATTATTGAAACAAGTTTTTATGACACAGTTTCAATCAAACAGATGTTTCGATTTCGATTTTGCGCGCTACTAATTCTAGCAATAAAGTCAATACGCATTTAGTCCGATATCTCTGTTATACTAGCAATAAAATAATTAGCAAATAAACAAACACATCGACATATGCAGACGCTAAATGTTGCCAATAGAATAAATAACTATATGTTGAATTTAATTATAAAAACAATTAAGGACTGCCAACGAACAGGCATATTACCTTATGTTAAACAATCGGCGCCACCCGACGAGTGCATTGCAGTACTTTTTTGGATTAGGGTTAAGGAGAATTATGGATTTGGGAAAGAGGAGAAGGATAGGGCCTTCGGTAACCTCAATCTCACGGCGAATAAATTTTGTTTGTTGTTTCACGCCTGTTTCCTATGTGGCCGTGATATAACTCCCTTCGAGTTGACCCTTTTATGTCGAAGCATAGCTCTCCCACACTAAAAACCTAATCCTGACGAAGTTGATCGTCGTGGTAGAAAAAAATCATTCTACTTATAATGAAAAAAAGCTTGGTTCAGATTATAAATGTAATAAGCTTAAGGAACTTGAAATGCTATTTATTGAATAGGACGTATAGTGATTCGTTGGAGCGAGCTACTCGATCGTATTTGCCTCGCCTGCTCGCGAGAACATCGATCACGTGACGAGCAAATATTGCAACTCTTCAGAAATGCCACTATTCTATTCACACCCGCTTTTCACTATTATATAGAGACCATACATCACAGTGTACATGTAACCCAATACCCCTTATAAATAAAACTCATTTTCCTCTATCTACTACGGATCATAACGTCCTCATCATTATTCAGTGACACGCTTAATAAGCCTTGGGAAGATAAACAAATGGTTACAGTCCTTATCATCAGAGCGGTAGATAAGTATTTAATCCATAAAACGTATAAACTATTGGCAGTGGAATGTTTGACGATCTCGCTAAAATTATTTTCAGCTAAAATACAAACAGAGAATAGTTTCGGAATTGTCCGCGTTCCGCAGCGTAGTTCCCAGCAGGAACATTAGTGTTAATGTCCAAATATAGCGGATTTTCGTGTAGGAACACAAACTGCAAATAATATTCGCTCAACAGTTTCATACCCAAAGCGACCATTACAAAAATGAATGTTATTAGGTAAATGGATGATTAACTTTCATACAAAAGCGAGTTGGATTATTCAACCGTTTTTGTTAACACGAAATAAAGGAATACGTCTTTTGTCTTTAACTTTTACTTAAATCCAGATGAAGTTATAACAACAATAACAGCACGAGATGGATTATTAAATTAAATTACATTTCTAATATAAGCGTGTCTGGGACTGTTAAATCCGACGTTGATAAACAAAAGAATATAATTTTCGACGTTAACATACAACGCTCATATATTTTGGAAGTTTATTTAGTATTTTAAGTGAAGTTATTGTAAATACTTAATTGTTAGGAAAGTTATGAGTAGGTATAGGTCAGGTAGCTAGGTATTCCTTGGTAGATGAAGTTGCAAGTAGGTAGGTCGTATCGATTGATTACAGTTTAAGATTTGATTTAACTACCAGTTTATAGCTAATTTATCTTTCGTCTTATCATAGTCCTAATATTTTTTCAGCTATTTTTAGGTCAGCATTGAATCATAAAATATTCAATTATTAATACTCAATTATTTATTTACAATAACGATTGCTTTGACACTTTCTTACAAACATAATAACGCAAAATCTATCTCAGGTGAATACGCGGCTATCGGTGTTGACGTGGAGAAGTATGAAGCTGAAGAAGCGATCCAGTATTTGTCTGGTCCCTTGCAAAAGGAACCAGGACCTCGAACTCTACATGCGTTTCGTTCATACATGGCAGTCGCCCCCTCGCCCTCTCCATCCTACCTAGCCTTCGCGAGGGAAGTGAACAGAAGGCTACAGATGCCACCATTTAATTTCACTAATCCCTTACTCGCATTGGGCGGAGGAAAAGTGGTAAGTACTTTACTACTTTAATGAGAAACATTTTCCACTTAGTTTAAACTTAAATTGAAATGTTTTACAAGTCGTTGGAGAGCTTTAGTGTTTGTTTGGGTTACGTCTTAGAGAAAATGTTAGTATTGCCATATATCCTGTTAGGTTTCAGAACCTACAAGACTTCACATCTCTGTATATTTTTCATGAGACGCTTCATTGTGTAACCATATCCAGAGAGTGCGACTAATAAAAACATATTTAGCGAGAAAAATCATCATATTGTACGTCATTGTGTAATAAAAAGATTTAATTTGACTGATTCTTGGCAAGAGACACGCTTTTGTTGTGTGTATATGACTACATATTGTAGATGGCTGACTGACATAATACACCGACAAACTAATTAAAGAGAACCGTAATTACAGTGCGTTAATTAAACCTGCATCTGTCGCGTAGTGACTATTAAACTATGTGTAGAATGTTGCAATTATAGGGACATCAGAATGACTACATTAGCGACGAAATTATGCACCACGTCCATTTTGCTCTTTCGTAATTAAATCTGCATCCTCTAAGTAATTAATTCGACGCAAAGAATGAGTTCGTCCAGCCAGGGGGAGGTTTTAATGTGATGAATAAAATTCACGTTACGTCGGACGCACGGCGGTGTGCATCTATATATTCTGTTTGGGCACTGTTGACCGTTATTCTTAGTGCGAATAAAATTGTTCTGCAGTAACTCGAGAATAATATAAAAGAAGGCTCTGTTTACTTTTTTACCCTTCTCAACTATAAATTTCGATTATGTGGTTAATTAAAAAAAATATAATAAGATGATTTAAAAGATGATTCATAATAAGTATAGAATATAAATGTACGAAATAATTAAATCAACACCTATCTTAATTCGTTTTTGTGCCAAATGACCCGGAAATTTTACATCACATTTCAGACAGACCTCGCCTATTACCTGAACACTGGACCCGCCCGGTTATCTGACCCTCTAAATGAGTTTTCGTTATTTCACTACCTTTTTGACCGCCTGTTCGACCCGTAAATGAATTCGCCTAAAGTTGACACCAACCTTAATAGCTTTCTGGGCCTAATTTTAGTGAAAAAAAGCTCGCTTCTGTCATTTTCAGTTAATTAAATGGAAATAAAGCGTTAAAGTAAAGGATCTTTAATAGGCGCAACGTTAAGTTAAGCAACAGGCAATTATCGTTGTTCGATAGATCCATTCTTTATGATTTAATACTTATTTCGTTTTTATGATAAGTATTATAAATCCAATATTGAAATGGTCAACGTTCTAATTCCCGCACTCACATTTCGGATTAATCCCGTAATTGAAAAATGGGAATGATCAGAATAAATCAGAATATTTTTGTTCCTAAAAATAATAGGGGCGCTAACCTTTTATAATTAGCAGGGGGTCACTTTCACCACTCACGCACATTTGCCCTATTTTATAAAAGAAGAAGATGAAACCAATAATATGTATCACAGAACTATGTATTAAAAGTATGCAACTTCATGTATATTTGGCCAATCTCCAATTGTGATATGTTAAGTGTTAAGACCTTATGACATTGTTCCTATAGATCCCTGTAGAAGCTGCATGGCTCCACGACGCTGTGTGGGTATATGCGCGTGCGCTGGCCGAATCTCTCGCCAGCGGTGAAGGGCCTCGTGATGGAAGGGCTATTGCTGCTAGAATGAGGAACACCACGTATCACAGTGTTATGGGGTGAGTTTTTTTTATATTATATTTTCACAGCGTTCCTCAGGTTAAGCAGAGGCAGCTGTTGCGTCAAAGTTCTTATCCTCCGATCCATTAGAAGACATGCGTTTTTTCATTATTAATAGTAATAAACTTTGTATGTAATATTCCTAGATTCTCTACCCAAATTAAACACAAATTATTAGTTAATCTCCAAAGGGAATTTAAACAAAATATTAACTATGATTATAACGTACATAACAAAAACAAAGTGTAATCAGAGCAAAACGAAATTACTTTTTTAAACTATTGAGTTAATTCTCACCTCTAATCAAAGAAATAAAAATGGTTGCGTGTAAATTGGTTCAATTTCAACCGCCGTGAACTTCTCGAAGTGGGATGGGGATCTAGTAACCTGTTACGATCGGCAAGATGTGCTTCTTAGACTTTGTGGCTTAGATAACAGTATAAAAGGGAAAGGGACAACCACAAAATTTGTGAATCTGGAACCTAAAAATCTGTATTCCACCTCCACAGGTAAAAAACCTAATGACCACATTTACTTTTATTAAAAACTAGTAACCCGGTGTAACGCACTACATAGAGGTACTTTCAGTTATACAGATTTAGACAATTCCTTCATACATTACTTACACAAAATATCTGAGTAGGTACTACTTACAAATTTATTTTTTTATTAGAGAGTTTTGTAGCTCTTTCTTAATTATCCTTTTGAAAGGAAAATCATCAAATGCCTCATAATCTCGCTGAGGGTGTGGCGAGAGGGAGTGTCAAACTCTTACTGACTAACCCCCCTTCCTTCTCATGCTGTAGGTCGAGCCCGCGATACCTTATTGCGCTTGCCGCGTATCCCCGGCTGAACATCAACTTTGTAGGGTCCTTTTTGTAACGTTGTCCTTATTACCCTGGGATAACTAAAATAACACCAAAACCATGACTCATAATAGTCAAATTCATAGAAAAAGATGGTATAACACATTTCAATAAAACTATTGATTTTGACTCATTGGAGGCATTTTGCTTGTCAACACCATTTCCTACCTGAGGACCGTAGGTTTCATATTTGGTAGGAGCATAAGGCATCTGCAGCTTAAAATTGAATAAAGATCCATAAAGTTTCCTCGTGGATTTAAGACAGCCTGCATTTTACAATATAATATGCATTGTAGATGTAAAGTAATCAATAATACATTTTAACTGTTGCGTGTTAGTTTGTGCCCTATTTTCAGTATTTCAAATAAAACCTTCGTGTCAAATGTCCATGTTCACATTTACTTTAGTATTGCATGTTTACCTGGAACAGCAAAAGAGTTTTACACCATTTCCTCTCTCATTATGTTGACATTAACAGGTCGTGGCCCATTTTTACTTCTTAAGCATTTAATTAAGCAGGTTAATTTGCTTTTGTAATAGTTTAAAGTCACGTCAAAACCGAGATAGGTATGGTGCTGCAATAAAACATCGTTCAATTACCTTATCGTACTTTGGCTATATGTACATATATTGCCATTTTAGGCAGTAGGTCCATTTTAGTATATCCTCTTTCTCTATCAATCACGAAAACAACAACAAAAATGTTTATTCTTGAGAATACTCAAGAATGGTGCGCATACTTACAGTTTTAAGTAATTTACTTACGATTACTCCATAACTCGACACGACGTTTCAAGAGATGTCCTTAGTTACTTTTTTGTGTCAGAGGAAAATCATTAAATTACTTCTCCCGCCCAGGGTAAGCCGAGAGAGAGTGTCAGACTGACTAAAAACCCTCGTTCCTTCTCTGACTTTGGGCCGACGCCGCGGTGACTCATAGATACTTGTCTATACATTACTCTATGGATGGAAATTGAAGGCTTTTTATTATGAACTCACTTTAACATCGGAATACAGAACAACTTTAACCTAGTCCGTATAGATTTTTGGGAAGGGGAGGTTCATTATGCGACTTCTCTCGCCTAGGGTGAGGCGAGAGTGAGTGTCAGACTTACTGACTAAAAACCACCCGCTTCTTTCTCCTGCTTCAAGCAGCCGAGGCCACGGTACCTTCTTGTGCATATATACCCCACAACCCCAGCTAATTCCGTTCCTGTAGATTACAGACAATAGATTACCTAACGATAACGTTCCAATCACCTAAAATTAAATCAAGCTACATAATGTTTCCTCGTTGCCAGGTACTGGGTGCACATGGATGAGCAGGGTGACGCTGAGGGTAACTACACACTGCTGTCCATCGACCCTTCGCGACCGCCAGGCCTCTACCCGCTGGCAGTGCTACACAAATCCGCACCGGTAAATTTAAAATTATAAGTGTGTAGATAGGAATTGTTAATTGTACATAATTATCTAAAAATATCTTAATAGATGGGATGCTGCTCACAAAATTTTTAATTTGGCTCTCAACTTAAACGCATGTCAGAATGATTAATTACCCCGTAACAGATGATAGGCGCTTCCAACTATTTATCACGGTGACTAATTAAAATTCGCAAACTTGCTATTAACAGTGCTGTCTAGGAAAATTTCCGTAATCCTGACAATGCCATGACACAGTTGACACACTGATTCCAATTGAAATATCTAACTATCCTATTATATGTTCGCACACCTGGTACCCGATTTGTAATTTATATATTCGTAAGTGTTTCATGAAAACATTTACATCTCCATGTAAATAGATTCGTTATCAAATATCCGAAACACGTACGCACAGCGATACTCGACGTGCCCCGAATAAACGGCATCTTTAACTGTTTACGTCACATTTTGGCTTGGGCGATGCACTTTAGTGCCAACCGACGTATGGATTCAAATCTGAAGATGCTAAGGTCCTTTTAACTGGAACAAATCTGTAATCCTACAAACCGTTTCAAATATATTCACGCTGCTACGTAATTTATATTCACGCTCTATTTCTAAAGTAATCCATTTGATCTAGCGAAGAATTTTTTTGCTATTTGTTTTATACTCACACGAGAGAAATATTCGTTCTCAGAAATCTTAAACATATTTACTTCACACAGGAAGTGCGATTTCTACGCGAAATGGAGTGGCCAGGGGGCCAGGTGCCTCTCTCAGAGCCGCCTTGTGGATTCAGAGGAGAAAAGTGCGTCAGTAAGTATAATATTTGTATTGGACGGTTTTAACAGAGAGAACTTTACACCCTTTCACTGGACACCCGTAGCTGTGAAGAGTGTATTCGCTTTCCTTAATGCAGAAGGAATGTTTGTAGCTAATAGAATCAGCAAGTGGGCTGGAGCACTTCATTACTAATGGCCGGCAGGACGGACGCGACCATTTTGTTTACTGGCGATCTAAAAAACGAATATGTAGGTACTGCTAGAGCTCGGGTCGGCATTAAGCGCAAGGATTGTAAGCGACAGTAAGTAGGGTGGCTCGTAAAAGCGTCGTTACGAGTCGTAGTGACAAGCAATGCGGAGCAGCGGGCCATAGGTCGCACGCGACGCCCGCTGCGCCGCCGCCCGCCGGCATCGCCACCTAATGCTCGCTACATCACTTTCCACTACTGACATTTGCTAGACCTACAAAGTCACTACCCGCTACACGAAAATACACTACAGTACTACATAAAGTTTCCGAATAGCTCTAATGCAATTACACTTATAGATATCTAAAAGGTTCATGTAATCACCAAACCAAAGTGACTTAGATTTTCTTCAGAAAATAATAGTTTTTAATATTTTTCTTACCAAGTAGGTACATAGTTAAAATATTTAAGTATATAATATATATTACGGCTTTCTTTTTTTGTAAACCAATTCTAAAATAATGTTCTTCCGAAGCCTAGGAACAGTAAGTAAACAAGCAAATAGTAGATCACATCAACATCCCCTTATAGTTCATATCTACGTACTACACACACTATTTCAGTGAAGGCGTTCTTTTGTAACAGCGTAATTGCATTTCCATTCAGAAGTCAAATAATAAAATCCATCATCCTGCACAATACTTCCAGTTCGTTTCAATTTGCAGAGCTTTGTTGACACAGAGACTTTGTGAAAGAGAAAATTGCGCGAAGGAAATATCCCATCATTTTGTAAAGCGATATATAGAGGCTAAGGCTACAAAGAAACTTGTCTACGGCGAAGGCACTGCTTCACTATACGGCACGCCTTAATTTCTCTGCTCATTTCCCTTGATAATACCAAATGAACCGGCAGGATAAATAAGAAAGATTTCATTTTAAATTAAAGTGGAAATATAGTTTTCATGTAGGTATTTCTTGTTTGATTTGATTACATGTACTACAGTTAATTAAGTATTTACTTTTATATAAAGGTTCCATATCTTGCTGTAGTGGATGTATTGTACAAAAAGAAATATGTAGGGATATTAAAATAAAGAATGTTACAAAGACTCGCTAAAGTCCTAACAAAGAGGGAATATTTCCTTTGAGTCTTAAAGCCTTAGTCGAAACGTACATAGGTATACAAGTACGTACTTTACTATAGTCTAGTATTGCATGGGATGCAAATTCACTCCGAAACATGACATTGATTACAAAACGTTTATTAAAATCAATAAAATCCAACAAAGTAAACTGTTTCCGTAGTAAAATGAAATTTTGAAGTTCAATTATGACGTTAAATTCCGCTAATGCTATAAGCAAATACTGAACTCGTGTTAGGATTAAGAGTTTGTAAGTATCAAAGATTAAACCCGTGTCATTCACCCCGCAGTTGTTTTGAAATGTACCTACTAGTCTATCATTCATTCAATCTGGTGATCCACAGACTACGAGCCGTACGTAGGACCCTGACTGTCTTTAACGACATCATAAAGTGAACCGTATTTTTCTTATTCCTACCATCGACCACACTAACTCGTCTAATCGTGCAATAAAAATCAAAATCTTGCTAAAGTAAACAGCAAAAACTTCAAACAAGGTTGAAGTGGTAATATGTTAGATCAATAACTTCTTTTTATGGTCCACCAATTCATTACCGACTTTTAGTTCACCAATAAAACGTCAAAATGAGTGCCATCTTTGGTATGTTGTCTGGAGAGCAAATTAAAAAAGGATTGGAATCTACGATATACGAATAATCTTAGGCTCCTGAATTCATTTAAAATACATACATACCTACCTCTAGCTAATTGTTTCTCAATCAGGTCATATTGGAGCTTGGGCATTGGGCGCCTCGGGAGGTACCCTAGCACTCCTTGTCCTTGCAGCTCTAGCCCTCTACCGCGGTTGGCGCTACGAACAAGAACTGGACTCACTGCTCTGGAAAATTGACTTCCGCGAGTTACACTTGCCAGACGAAGAACAACGAGCGAACAAAATGAGTAGGTAAACCGAACTTGTACATGTTGTCTGCATGCGCTAAGCACTAATATTTTATTAACACAGAAAAATATCTATTGTTTAAAGTTTATTCAAAATTTTGCAAGCTTCCCTTTACAATTTATCTATTTGAAGGTGGTAGTTTGTTCGATGTCTCTCTATTGTTAGTATGTATTCCTGTTGTGCCCATTGTACGCTGTGCTAGATGTAGTGGAACATAAATAACGTATCTAGATAGACAGCCTTTGACCGCCCTCAACACCCACGTATCTTTGGCAGAAATGTGGTTGACCGCCCCTATACCGTCCCTTCTGCCCGTTGCACAAAGCGAAATAGATCGTACGTCTAGTCTCCCGCTTTGTTCAACTATTTGATATAAAATACCAATGTATGTAGGTACTCCATTGAACACTTTGATACACTCCGAAGCAATAGAAATAAATTTTACGATGAAAATATTTTTAACTTCGCTGTTTCAATAAGTTTATAGCATTAATAGCTTTGTGACGTAACGAACAGAGTTCGTAATAAAAACAAGTGCAATTTTCTCGAAGAGTGATTCTACTGGAGTAATTGATAAAAGTGAAATCAGTGATATTATTTTTTGATTTTAGTTTATTCTTGGCATTGCTTGTATCGGTTTAATCATATACCTTCTAGGACTTACTTGTAGGTATTAAATTGAAAACAACACCGATTGTAAATGGCCTCGTTCTGTGTACTTAAGTACTATTTTAGGAACTTAGGTAATTACTTTTTTGAGCAAACATTTACTGCTGTGGACATCCGATTTGAGGAGAAATCGGGCTTTAAGAAAGAGCAAAGGATTTATTTAGGTGTAGATGTAGACGCCCCGTGGCTAAACACTACCTAATTTATTTATTATTTCTACTTCTAAGTGTTAGATGCATGAATGAAATCTTTTATATTCATTTTCAGCTGACCAAGGATAGGTTTGGTACTTTGGTCTCTCAAAACAAACCGGTTACGTTTATTAAAGACCATGCCATCTTTCTCTTAGAATTAAATGAATGCTTAACAAGTTGATCAGAGCTGAATTCTTCCAGCAAGATAGCAATGCGGGCGGGAACGTATCCTCGTCAACCAATGCCGTGGGTGGAGAGAAGAATGGAGGCAGTACGGGTGGGGTTCGGTCCAGTCAAGTGTCCCTGAGCTCCAACCCAGATCTAGACTTTCGTTACTCCGCCATTTTCACCGAAGTGGCACTCTACCGGGGTCGACTCCTCGCTGTGAAACGAGTCCGGAGACATCACATCGATATCAACAGGGAAATCAAGAAGGAGCTCAAAATTGTAAGTTCTTTCAATGTACCAATAATACGTTTCTTAATTTGGAACAGTAAAAATATAAATGTTATAAACGATAGTAAAAAACATAGGAAAATATTCCTCTATTGTAAGTATGTTCATAGACTACCTAAGTAGGTACTTCTACATATACTTACCTATAGTAAGTATACTTGGATATCGAAAATATTTGCCAAGTTATATATGGAATCTGTAGGCAATTTACTTTGATATATCCTCGTGGCATTACTGAGGATAGCTCAAAGCCTTCCCTAGGGCGGCGAAACAAACAAAACATTTCTCTTCCTAGCCTCATATGATGGAGGTGCCGGGTGAAATAAATCGCTTTAATACATGCGGATTTACTCAACTGACGCAGGTACCTAGTGGAATAGAAATAAATAGGTGGTATTATCTAGCGAAATGTATTTGTGTAGCTACCTACCTCCTACTTCGTAATCATCGTGTTTGCGCGGAACTTTCAACGTTTGGTACCGACCTATATGTTCTTTGTTACAGTGGTCTTATTACAGCAATTTGTAGAAATGTTACTATTAATGTCATCGCTTATGCGAAAATATTCCTCCCATAGGTACCTATAAAAACAAAACGAACATTTAAAATTAATGGTTCATTTTATTCAATCTATCCTCAATCTTGTTGCTCACAGCGAATCGATAATCTTGTTAGTTACTTTAAAGACCTACCTACGTTGGTAACGACCGGGCTTGTAACTAAAATAAAATGTTCAAAGCAAATAGGTAGGTCGGTACCTAATAACGTGAATGGCGATTTGTTCAGGTGCGGATAAATACCTTCGTAGTTCGCACTAGCTTACACCTGTTTGTTCAGCTCCACTTCAATTTATTTGGACGGTGAATTGCAAAACTCAAATAAAATACTGGAACTTTCTTGCACTACTCTCAATATGTTTTAAAATATATGCGTTCCCTGATTTTAACGTTGCGTGGGCATTTCGATTTGAATCAACCGGAGAATTAGCATTCCTAAAAGCCACGATATATTTATCTTGTAAAGAATTTATCCCCCAATTACTGTAAATTGCTAGCTGTTTTTGCCGAGGAATGGGAGGAGCAGTGGTATCCTTATCTGATAACTTCAATTTATTGCTCTCAACCACACCCCAAAACACGATCTTTTCCGATGTACTTATTGATAGGAAGAACGCGCGTTCCTATATATACAATTGCCAATAGTAAGTATAGATAATGATCGCAAAAACTCAAATTGGAGAATAGTTAAGTGTGGGAGAGCAATACTTCAATGGGTCGGCTCGACCGGAATGATACCACGGCCTCACAGAAAACCAGCGTGAAGCAACCACAGCATTGTGTTTCGCCGTGTGAGTGAGGTTACCGGAAGCAATAGCCCAATCCCTAACTCTCCAAATCCCCAATCCCTAAAAGTCGGCAACGCACTCGTTACTCCTCTGTTGATTGCTTACCATCAGGTAATACGGGTTGCTCGTTTTCAAAAACAAATAGTTCGCTGTTGAAACTTGAATCCATATTCTATCTGCAGCAAGAAAGAATATTGAGATTGAAAGTTTGTATCAAACTTTGTCAATCGACATCACTTTTTTATTGAAAAGCTCTGTAGCAAAAACAATAGTGTCTACACCTTTAATCCTTTCATAAAATGCAAAATATATACGGCACATATAATGAAACCCAATTCACATACCTACATATGTTCGGGAATGGAATGATGGATCATGGATAGGTAGGTACTTATTACCTAATAGGTGTTCAAGATGACTTGAATGCCCTTTGCACTCCGAATAAAACATTAATTTGACTGTTTCATTCATTGTATGTAGATAGGCAATAACATGCAGCAGTAGCTGTCTACGAGGTATTTATTGTTTCTGCAGCGTGTAATAAACTGTGTGTGTCGGCAGATGCGGGATTTACAGCACGATAACGTGAACGGGTTCGTCGGCGCGTGCATTGAGCCACCCAACGTTTGCGCCTTATCCGAATACTGCACTAGAGGCAGTCTCAAGGTAAAGTATTTCTTATTAATTAGTTACTTTGACACCATATTTATACTATATAGACTAACACTGATGTTGTAACAAAAAACATACAAACAAACCAAGCTATCTTAAAGTGACTGTTAGTAGGTAGACTACCTAGTAGTTGCAAACTTCTTAGCGAATTAGCTTCTCTCAATAATGGCTGAAAAGTTGGTGAGATGGCTAAGCAACCGGCTGTCATGCAGCTTGTCGCGGGTACGGTTTCTACAGAAAATACACAGCTATTTATGTGATCCCCAAAAATCAAGGTCTGTGTGTATGTAATTTTTTAAATTTGTAAACGCACAAGCATACCCACGCAGTAGTGTAGGAAAAATACTAAAAATAAAGGTATTACCACCTTAAAAATATTCCTTCTTCCCAACATGTTTTTGTAGATATTATAAATATCGCGAGACATAATATTAAATTAATTCCTAATATAAAATTTAATTACAGGATATTCTGGAAAACGAAGATATTAAACTGGACAACATGTTCATCGCATCTCTAGTTGGAGATATTATAAGAGTGAGTAAATATCCACTTTATCTGAGATTTAGTGTGCATGCCAAACAAGTCAGGCAAACAGGGTTAAAGTCTAACATATGGATAAAACTGAAGAAAATAATGCACTATACCTATCTATGTAGGTGTAATTGTGTTAGATAGATATTCTATTTACATCACCTACGATTCAATAACAACCTCTATCATAACATTGGCGCAGTTTTAAGAGATTTAAATCGCCAGAAGCATTTAAATGCAACATCTGAGCAACTGAACACTGATTTAGACTTAAGATTTAGCATTTACGCAAATATTTTGCTACTTATTTGCAGTCTACGTTCTAGGATTACTAGGGACTTAGGTATTTGATTTACCAGTCTGAGACCCATAGCCTACCTATTCTAGACCTTCAAGAATAGGTAACTATCTAATAAGAAAAACTGCTTAGATGAAGGTGATGGTCTCTAACGAAAATATCTAGTTTAGGTGTCGTATTTCCCTTCCAGGGAATGATATTCATCCACGAGTCCCCACTGCAGTACCACGGTGCGCTACGACCGTCAAACTGCCTAGTGGACGCCCGCTGGGTAGTCAAGTTGGCTGATTTCGGGTTAAAGGAATTCCGAAAAGGTGAACTGCCTCCGTCAGAATCCAATGCTTTGCGGTCTCACGTTGAAGGTAAGTTTAAGAAAAAATTAAAGTGAACCTACTTGTTTTTACCTATTGTCGTCAACAGCGCTCACGCGTATTCGCAGCTTATTGACTACACGATTTGGAGCAGTACCTGGGCAACCAGATGTACTGTACAGTACATCTGGTTGACAATCTGTAACTGCACGGAACAACTTTTTGTGATCCAGGAATTGTTGTTCAGGATTTGGGTGTAACGTTTGTATGTTTAGAAGCGCATCTATCTTACGGGATTTTATACTTTAAACAACCAATACTTTTGCCCAGATTTTTTTCGTGTGCCCATTACTTTGTCCTCTGTGATTATTATAAATTAATTCTTGTGAGTACTTGGGAATTAATGTAATATAACATCTTTAATATTAGGTACATTCTGTTCACAGGTTTAGCTTATTTATCACCGGAGTTACTTCGCTCAGTGGGATGGGGCAAGGAAACCACTAACATGACAGTAGAGCTACACGATGGCTCGCCGCAATCGGACGTTTACGCGTTTGCTTTGGTTCTGTATGAGCTGCATACTAGGCGAGGGCCGTTTGGAGGAGATGCCTTACCAGTGCCCTCTCTATTGCACAGGGTTGCGTCGCCAGATCCCGTGCCATACAGGTAGGTATGTGTCTGAGCAGAGGGCAACGTGACCCGTAAGGTTAACTAACCCACATATAGTAAGATCTGCTCAATAGGACATATTGATGTGACATGGATGTCATAAGAACTAAATAGTAAAGAATTACCTACTTACACACTCTTCCTCCCTCTCATTCGCTCTATCTCCTTCTTTTCGCTCTTCCTCTTAACAATTGACACTTATTACTTTGTATACATACTTACCAATAGCGATATGCATGAGATACTTACTCAAATTAATTCATATTGAATTCCAGGCCTCCACTAGACGCTCTCACCGGTAGCTTTGACTGTGTGCGAGAATGTTGCTCCGAATGTTGGGCAGAGGAACCTACGGCTAGACCCGACTTCAAAGCTATACGCACTCGGCTCAGACCTTTACGGAAGGGCATGTAAGTTTATTTACCATGTAAGACTTTTATCATTGACATTTTTGTACATTCGACCTCTGAAGAATTATGTTTTTGTTACTAGGAAACCAAATATATTCGACAACATGATAGCAATGATGGAAAAATATGCAAATAATCTCGAGGCTTTAGTGGACGAGAGGACAGATCAATTGCAGGAGGAGAAAAAAAAGACTGGTATGAATATGTAAAGACGTAAATATCTAACCATACCTACTTCTAACCTAGGTTGCTCAGAGTTTCTTGGTCTGAGCCAGGTTGTGGTAAAAGTGCGGGTTCGAAACCTTAGCAAGAACCGGTATTCAACCTACTTTTAAATTTTTAATTTCTTATGAGTTTGAAATCACCAATCCACATTGAACAAGCGATGTTTAATACTCAAACTGTCTCTGTGTGAAGAAGGAGCCTTTGTTCGGCAGTAGGCAACCCAAAGGCTAATAATGCGCGATGATGATGTGTAAGTAACTTTTCTTAAACTTGCTTGTTATTAGGTATTGAGTTTGTTAACGTATATTTTCAGAGGCTTTATTAGAAGAAATGTTGCCAGCACCTGTCGCTGAGCAGTTAAAGCGTGGTCGGCGAGTGATGCCGGAGAGCTATGATTCCGTTACTATTTATTTTAGCGACATCGTCGGCTTCACGGCCATGTCGGCCGAAAGCACACCCCTACAGGTAAATGTATATTAAAACCTCCCTGGTCCATCATCAACTTCGTTACAATATTATGATTATTTTAACCTACGCAATATCACGTATGTTCACTGTTTGCAGGTGGTAGATTTTTTGAACGATTTGTACACGTGTTTCGATTCAATATTAGAAAATTTTGACGTCTACAAAGTGGAAACTATTGGCGACGCATACATGGTGGTAAGTAGTTGAACCAAACATTCAACATTTGTGTAGACAAGGAGTTATTGGGAGTATATTTTACCATCTTCTTTTCTTAGGTATCCGGTTTACCAATTCGCAATGGCATACTCCACGCAGGCGAAATAGCCTCGATGGCACTAGCGCTACTGTCTGCGACGAGAGCATTCCGCTTGCGACATCGACCTGACCATCGACTGATGCTGCGGGTCGGCATACATTCAGGTACCAATACTTGTTCCTCATCATTGCACTTCTGAGTAGTTTTAAAGTTATATAGTTTTCTACCTGGTTTCTATTTCAATAAATATAAATGTATATGTGGCCTATATTGTTACCAGGTCCAGTTTGCGCAGGTGTAGTAGGTCTAAAAATGCCCAGGTATTGTCTATTCGGAGATACAGTCAACACGGCAAGCCGGTTTGAGTCGACAGGGGCACGTAAGTAGTGATTACTAAAATATCTCAGTATTCGCTGTAAAAGAAAAATTAAATCATATTACATATTTACTATTACAGCTCTAAAAATCCATTGTAGTCAAGCTTGTAAGACATTATTGGATCAACTCGGAGGATATGTACTTGAGGAGCGAGGTATAGTCTCAATGAAAGGCAAGCGGGACCAGGTGACGTACTGGCTGCGAGGGGAAGAGCCCACTGCAGCCGCGGCCAGGGCGCGCCGGCGACTAGCTGCCAGGGACAACGTCCAGCCACCCGGCAGTACTGACAAACGAGGACAACGCAGCTCACTTAAAACTAAAAACTGGAAGAATCAAGTTGGCGGACTTCATAGGTAACAAAACGCTTTATAGTGTTTTTTTTTACATCATTGTTCAAAAATACTAAAACTTAATGTTATTTTCTTTTCCATCAGATGTTGCAGTTTAGAATCTCCTAAAAAATTACGTTTTGCCTCTGGCAATCATTTAGAATCGCACACAGATGGCGTTTTACATCATCGCAGCGATGAATACCTTATGGAAGTAAGTATTGGTATTCCTAACAGGAGAATTGCTGCTCCTAGCAGAAATTTTTTTATATTCCATATTACAGGTGGTCGGAGAAGGAAGGCTAGTACCAGCGCAACGATGTGATTTATTAGAAGCTCCAAGTCTTCGTCAAGAATATACAAGTATATCTTGTCCTATCATCGAGCACACGGAGTGTATCCCGGCAGCCCCTGCGGCCGCAGCGGACTCGCCGCTCCTGACGAAGGAAGCGCCTCCGCCGGCGTGCGACGCCAAGCAGTGTGACATGAAGCAGTGCGACATCAAGCTGGTCATCAACGGTTGCTCTTACAACGAGCGGGACGGAGCCGGTATCCCACTGCTTGCGGACGCGTAATGTGTGCATTTGTACTTACCATGTAATCCTAGTCAATGGCAGCGACACGTATCTCTAGCTACTGTGACATGTCAAGCATAGCTAGTTCTGCGTCGCAGTAGTTAATAATTGTACGAGGTAGGTCGTCTCGTTAGCCACGGCGGTGTTCCACCTTAAGGTTGGAGGTGAACACTCGCTCTGTGTACACGAGTTTACCAACGATCTTCTCGTTTCTCGAATGACACTTAATGTAATTGTGATCTACGTCAGTATTATTAAGAGACCTTGTTCAATAGAAATTATTTAATAACATTAAACTTATTTCACAATTGACGGTAACATCGTTTTACTTACACATATTATTTACAACATCTCGATATACATACACGGCGCCGGCGTCGATCCAGTCCGCTCAGACGGCGGATTCTGTATCTAGCAGTGGCTTGGCGCGGCGCAGGTCGGCGCTGGGAGTGCGCGCGGTACTGAAGAAGCCCAGCAGCCAGGACGGGATGGCGAACCGCGGCGCCTTGCGCTCTGCCGCCTTGGTGGGCTCCACGTTCTCCAGGGAGCGCCAGCGCTTGTAGAACTCGATGTAGCTGGCCTCGTTAGACGTGGCCTTCCTACGCGGTCGCTCCAGCTTAGTGGACAGACTGGTCTTGCGGAGGAGGGGACTGTCCTCGTCGCGCGGCGCCTCGTCCGTGACGATGCCGATGATGGTGCCGTTGAAGACGGGGTCCCCGCAGACGGTGGCCACGCCCACCTCGTGGTCCAGCGAGCGCGCCGTGTGCTGGCGGCGCAGGCGCGCGTCGCGGCGCGGCAGCACGTCCAGCGAGTGCCAGCGCGACGCTTCCGCCTCGTCCGCCGCGCCCAGGCACGCCGTGGACGACGCGATCGAGCTCAGCGCGTGCCTGCAAGCACAGCGCGGTGAGCGAGGCTCGCCCCTGCTGAAGCAGAGCGAGCAGTACGAGCAGTACCCGCAGTAGCGCAGTACGTACCTGGGCCGCGGCGCGTTGTTGTCGGGGCGCTCGGGGCGCGCGCGGCGCTGGCTGCTGGGCGACGAGCACAGCGGCGCGGGCAGGGAGCAGCGCGACCCGCGGATCACGTCACCCTCCTTCGGCCCGCTCGACATGCGCTGTCGTATAGTACTGCCCCCGCCTCCCCCTGTACATTCCCACCCAGTTAGTTATATTTTACTCGCTTACAAAATGGAACATTAGAACACAAAAATAAGGCAAAAACTCTACCTGAAAGTGAAGGATGTCTGGAATCCGCCAGTCTAGGACTTCGTCTAGGTCGACGGAATAGTGGCCGCTCCTCGCCCTCGACAGGTCTCTTTTGTACGGCTTTTTCTGTGGCACTGACCAACCAATATGTCTGAAGCTGTAATACAAAATAATTATTTTCAATAATTTTCGAAACCATATCAATAACTTGTTGTGAAAATGTAAAATATGCGGCGCACCTGCCCTTTGCCCTTGATTGGTATAGTGCCCCTAGGCTCGACGATGTAGCCGCCGATCTTGTCGAGTGCTTGCTTGCAGCTCGGGGATATGTGTATCTTGAGCGGCTCGCCGTTGGACTCCATGCGCGACGCAGTGTTCACGGTGTCTCCGAACAGACAGTAGCGGGGCATCGTCAGGCCCACCACACCCGCTACTACGGCGCCTGGTTATATACATAAACAGCGTACAGATATAGGTATACACATATTATTAAGGGTATATATAGGTCGATCTAGAATTCCGTAGCAAGTTAAGTATGCGTGAGCCGATATAATTACTTATAATTATATTGGCGATATTATTGATGGAGTGCTGACTTGCTGTGAATGTGGACGGATATTCGAAGCAAAAATTAGCTACTATGTCAGTCACTTGAGAGCACATCAACGAAGCTCTCAATAGGTACAGCCAAGTCGCTGTGGCCGAAATCAGTCAGAAAATGCAATAAATCAAATTTCGAATATGTCACTATAATCACAATCAAATCAATTACCAGTATGTATTCCTATCCTAAGCTTGAGTGTTTCATTTGGTCTATGAGATATTTTGTGACTTTTAACCGCGTTCAATAATTCCAGCGCCATAGAAGCGATCTCACCAACATGTCTGTCGTTATTTCTTATGGGAAGACCAGATACCTGGAAATGTGTAAAACATAATTATATCTGTTTCTTATTCAAAATCTAAGCATTAAAATTGACAAATCAAAATAAAAAGTCCACTTACCACCATGTACGCGTCTCCTATAGTCTCGACTTTGTAAACATCGTAGCCTCTAATTATCCTATCAAACACCGTGTACAGGTCGTTGAGAAAGTTGACGACTTGGAGCGGAGTGCTCTCTGCCGACATGGCGGTGAAGCCGACTATGTCACTGAAGTAGATGGTGACAGAGTCGAAGGACTCCGGCTCCACGCCCTCGCCCGTGGTGAGGCGATGCGCCACCGACCTGCAACAAGCGCACCATGTACCGCCGAGCCCTCCCGCCGCGCCCTCCGCGCCCTCTGCGCACTGCCCTCACGCTCACGGTAACACACAACTTAACTTACCAACTACTTCAATCTCATGCCGCTACTTATAAGTAAGCTACGATATAAATCAAACAAAAACGTACGGCACTAGACCTACGGACAATTCAATCACAAGCACTTGAGTCACAGTAACCCTTGATTTAAAAATAACAACAAAATCTAATACTTATACCTTTATACATTTGTTCAGACTTACATTAAGTAATTAAAAAGTAATATGCTTAGAAAAAAATTTATTAAAGAATTAATTAGTCAGTACTTTTAATTTAAGCATGCTCATCTAAAATAAAAATTATCAAAAGTGCAATGTAATTTGAAAAAGAGTTCTCTCGTGCCCCCATTACGAAAGATCACCAAAGAATCGCTACAAAATCTTGCTTGCAAAAAGCTATAAAAAACCAGTAAACTACATGAAGAAAACTGCCATCACCGACACGACACGCCACGCTAAACCGCCACAGTATCCCAAGCAAGCTCTATATCTACTCAAACTCTGTTAATGAAAAAGGTGAGCCACGTAATCACAATGTTTGGGAACATTTCGATGTAAGATTGTGATGTGAGCCGGCCACCTGTGTGAGAGGCAAACCATATTAAACTACAATCACCAATAGGGAGTTAATTACCTCAAGACATTTTCACGACATTTCTATAATGGATCAATCTCCACATCTGGAAAAGAACACAAGTACAACAAAGTGAATACATTAAATTTTTAGACGACGTACCACTGTTTTACATCAAGTCCATGTCGATGTTTTCGTGTGTTTTGATCAATGAACTATATTATGTGTATTAGTTTATTTATAGTACCATTATCAATCCGAGCTAATAATACTTTAAGCGTGAATAATGTTCATGGTTTTAATATTATACATGTAGTAATGTGACCTACTATGCAGTTATTTTATTTACGTATAAAACGCATCAAACCACATATTGGTTCCCATTAAATTTCACAATACAATGTCATGAAGATTTACAAAAGTATAGTCATGTAAAGTTCGCTATGCCTGTAAGAAAACAACACAATACCAGTCAACGGTCAAGAGTTTTTGTCCCCACGCGCTACGTGTATACAAGAGCAAAGTACAAATCTAGTTATCACATAGTAGCAATGAGACTTGGACTAAATGTAAACCAGTACGCACACTACTGCGACATCCAGGTGTGTGATACAGCTTGTTGTATTTGCGTCTTCCTCAACTGTGCTCACATGTATATATTAATTACACCGACAACAGTACAAACCTTTAAATTAGTAATAATATAGTAATTAGATGACGCTAACATATAACACCAATGTACACAAAATATTAATTACATGTACATGCACATCACGGTGGTTACCAGCGCGACTGGGCCGAAGCTTGCGTTTTAAATGTATTTAAGACACAAATCTTCATACGAACGAATCAATACGCGAGTTGTTATTGACATAATGTGACATCAGTATTATATACAACAACGAGGACAGTATTACTGCATTAGGTACAACATAATTCTAATTGAATGTACTTGTATCTTTAGTAACTTACTTTGGGAGCATCCTATGTAATAAGTCTTCGGTTTTCTGCTTCTCTTCCATCAATAGCCTCGTTCTCTCGGTGACTAGTTCTTCTAAATTATTAGCATATTTCTCCATCATATCCATCATTTGGTCCATTATATTTCTTGATCTGGAAAAAGTTATGAGAATTTTATCCAACTTTATAAGCTTTCAGAATATTCCTTGATAATTTGAAAAGAAACTATGTATTGCACTCACTTTCCAGATTTCATTTTCTTGAGACGACTTCTAATAGTAGGGAAATCGGGTCTCAGGTTGGGGTCTTCGGCCCAGCAGTCTTTCATACACGCCACCACATAATCTTCAGGAGGAGGATCCAGGGCGTCTGTGTTTGGTCGAAACACCTCTTCACCATCCAACTTTGGTCTCTTCAAGCGCTCAATTATGTCTATAGAAAAATCAGGTTATACACAAAGCATTTCGAAATCCTGGAGTAAAATGATACATTGATAATAAAAGCACACGTACCCTTCGGTTCTGTCCCCGTCAGGCCAAAAGGACCTCTCCTAGCTATGATTTCGTATAGAATTATACCAAATGCATAGACATCCCCCTTCTGCGTTCCACCGACCGTACCATTAGGGTTATCCATCTCCCTTAGTAGTTCTGGTGCCTTCCATAATAAACCTGGAAGTTGATATTACATAATCAATGCTTCATGACTTCATTTAGGAGAAAAATGTAAACTACATGCTTTGTCAATAATCATACCTCTATAATATTGGTGTTCGCCAATAAATTCGTTTTCAGCACAAGCTCTCAGCTCGTGTAAACCAAAATCAGCAACCTAAAACAGTTGTTTTACAATGATAAAGTAAAATCAGCGGTTTCACTTTTAATGTGATGGAATAGTGTATAAAATTATATCTAACCTGTAGCATCCATCTAGACGTAACAACACAATTCGAGGATTTGAGATTCCCATGAAAAATTAATGGCGAAGTATGAATAAACATCATACCCTGCAAGAAAAAAACATAAATTTTACTAAGTTGTAGAATACAAAGTTACTAAGTTATATTAATCAATTAAATAAAGTGACGTACCTTTATGAGATCATGAATTAGCGAAGATATAAACATTTTGTCCAATTTTATATCTTCATTTTCGATTATATCCTGAAAATAAAATCGCAATTACTTAACAACATCGGTTCTATCGAATCAAATATTTATAAAGAGATAAGGTATCGTAATGGGGTGTGAGAGAACTCCACATCACTGTGATTTCGACGGCACATAACAAGGCGAACGGATAAAGTGGGTCTCGCCCGTACAGCATAACTGCACACTAATGCCTTACTCCTCATTTTTGTAGGGGAGGCTCATGGATACAAAATTTGCAGTAACTAGAGCGGCATTCGAATTTCGAAGATTTGGTGGCAGATGACAAAACTGTTGAATGACAATTCCTACTTTCCCGGCAGCGGAACGGGATATTAACAGTTCTTTATTGTTAAGCTTAAGTATTGTTTTAGTGATGTATGACTGAGGAATAACTCCTCTTGAAAGCATTTAACAAAAACTTATAATATCATTTTTATTAACAATTCTACCGATTGAAAACAAAGAATGATTTTATTACGCGGCCATAAGTACTCACATACAAGCTCCCTTTGGCGCAGTAGTCGGTGAGTATGAGGACGCGAAGTGGCTCCACCACGGCACCGATGAACGAGTTCAGGTTGTCATGACGCAACTCGCGCAACAGACGCATCTCCTTCATTATCTCACGTGGAATGTCCTGAGAAGCAAATATACTTTCATTGAGGAGACTTAACGGGCATACTTTACAGATAAACTGTATACGGGAAAAATGATAAGGCGATAGTATGTCTTTGACTGAAATTATGATAAAGAATCACTTACTTTTTTCTTTGAGAACTTTAGCTCTTTGATTCTGACAACATTTCCTTTAAACTGCGCCGTCGTCGTGAATATTTGCGTGCAACATTTGCTCTCGCACGATATACCGCTCGCTAAGCTCAGCTGTAACATAAACAAAAATTCTAGAAACTTCGGTAATGGTCCATAAGCGACCACAAATAGCACATAAAGTCTGCACTGTTTACACAAAAGCTAGCGCTTGCCTGCGCGTCTATGTCTGGTAAGGGGTTACCTTACTAGGCGACCACACGAGACCACTGCCCAGGTATCCAGCAATTTCTTGTGGGTCTATCTTCCAGAGTAGACCCTCGATCTCTTGTTCGATCTTCCACTTGCGGTATATGCTGATAGTGACGACCAGCGCACAGAACAGGGTGACTGCTAATGTGCCCGCTACCACTAAGGAAGTTATTTGCGAGTCGTCTTTGGGACATTTCTCGTTTAAAAAGCCACAGGACGGCTCGTCTTCGGGTTTGACGCTATCAGGCCAGTCGATCGGCAAACGAGGGTTTAGTTTGTATTCCTGTGAAATAAAATCTATTATAAGTTCATATAAAAATAGTTATCCTCTATTGCAATTCAATGGCAATAGAAATGCAACGTACTGGAAACTCCCGTTTATTCTGGTGCTGGAAGTGTCCGACGGGGATCATACTATATGAGCAGTTGACGTCACCATCTTGATACTTGGTCGGCTTGAACGCCAGCACGGAGAAGTTACCCTCGGAGTCCGCTCGCTCGTCCAAACGAATGGACATGCCAGTTATACCTGGAGATATGCAATAAATAAAGTTTTGATTTCTAAATAATGGCTTATAAGGATCATTTAGTAAAATATGGTCAACAAACTTACTTTTATAGGGTGAACTTTGTATCATCTTAGCGACGATACGCGTCCCGTTCGTTGCTATACTACGCAGTTTTGCTTCGGTCAACGGTTCATTACGAGTCTCTTCCTTTATGATTTGATCCAAAGCTCTTGCGTACAGTTTCACCGAATCGTATAAGTATGCGGCGTAGATGGAAACAAACTGGAAACAATAATTTAGGTTGTAAGATACACAAAATAATTTGTTACAACATTAGCCAAAAAATATTTTTAGTTTGTTGTAACTACAAATGGAATATGATAAAACAATGCATAATATAGGAAAAGTTTTATTATTTTTTTTTATGCCGAATATACATGAACATTGGAACAGATAGTTATAGTCTACTGCCGTTACTCAGAGACATTTCATGTTTAATTAAAACAACTAAGTACGACGATTTAGTTCTGAAAAAAGATTTATACGACTGTAAAACCATTTTGTATACCTTTATTGCGGGAAAAGCAGTTGGCAGAGTCTAGCCCATAACTTATACCTAACTGTTGTAAAAGGTACCATCACCTATAAACTCACCTTACTAAAAAACTGATTCACGAATACAGATTCTTTAAACGTGAAAGGTGCGAGTGTGTTGTACTTCCGAACTTTATTGGTAAACTCTTCATAATCGCTGGACGGTTCCGATGAGACCACGACAAGAAGAGACTGAGCTCGCTTCTTGAAATCTATCGTGTTCGGACATATCAGCTTCGTTGATACTCGGTCTTCAGTTTCTGAGAAAGATGTTCAGGTTATTCATATATTATGTAAAATTAAATGAGATAGGTTTATAAAAAACTTAACCTTTTATTTTTTGTTTTCCAAATTTTTCTCATAGACACAATGATTATTTATGTATCAAACTTGAAAACTAGAAATCGTTTTTGAGCTACGCTAAGCCTATGGAGCTAAGCCTAGCGCTAAGACGCCATTTTTAAAAGAAGTTTGTCATTCGTTAGAAACTTAAGAGATTACTTTGTTATTCATTGTGAATTAACTAAAGATAGTGTAGCAAATAGTTTACAAAAGAGGAGTAGAATAAAAGATTGGGCGTACGCTTTATGTAATGTTTCATCAATTCAGTATTCAAGAGTAATAATTAGAAAATTGCAAACTATGAATGTAAATCGACCTGCGTCTTTGATATACTAAAACAAATGCTTGTAAAAGTGTTGCAGTTGATTGCAACTTAATGAATAACAAAACATGACATGTAGCCTCTTCGTGTCCAAAACACGAAAATCAATATAAACACTGACAGACATAATGTGCAAATAACTTCTATTTAAATTTGATTTGCAATTGTAATGTTTACGCTTTGCGAACAATGTGACGACGCTGACGACGGGACAAGGAAAACAGAACAGCTCAAGATATTTTACGCAGAAAAGTGTAACATATTTTTTCTTTAACTAATTGTATTCTTTACTTTATGTACTATTACTCACTTATAAGGTATTTCAACGCTTCTTTGGGTGAATATGTCATCATATCCACAAATATGACCATGTACTCGCCCTTAGAGAATAGATGCAGTGATTCCATGGCAGTCATCATTTCAATAAGGCCAGAAGTTGAACCCAAGAACACGTATACTGAAAAAAGAAAAATTGATTTACCGGCGAATCGTGTATAGTGATCATTCAAAGCCGAGATTTTTAATACAAAATGTGGTACAAGGCACTAACTTCGCGTCTTATTCTTGGTGTCCTGTATGAACTGATACCAGAACCCTGGTGCACAACAGGTCATCTTATCCTCGCAGCACTTGTACCCGTCGATGACGGCTCGTTGGTGATTCACCGTCATATTGTTTTTCTTCGCGTGGTTCTCTAATGTCAATGCCACCGTCACCCATGACTCCTCATACAGAATGGAGAACTTGTTCCATCTGTAGTAACGTAGAAGAGATATTACGGATTTGGTTGCCTGAAATTAAGGAAATGTTTTATACATTACATTTTGTCAGGCTAAAGCTATAGAGGATACGGTATTAAAAAATGCTTGCTGCAATTAGTTACCTGAGCACCAGGCGGCTCCAACCTCGCAAAGTTCGACAGCGTCGAAGTTTGATAATCTGAACATCTCTGAAACAATAAGTCACTCAATCAATTATAATCCGACAATTTGTTTTGATACGGCTTCATTGAAACTAATGCCGTTATCACGATAACAACTAAAGTTAGAAATTCTTTGTCTCCAAACTTGTCTAACAAAATAATAATTACAATTGATTTAAATGGCAATTTGAATATATTGCACCTCCACCCACTTACATAGGAGATCATGGGTAAGTTCCTGGACTGTGCGACGATCGCTTCAGTGTGGCAGCGACCCTCGGGCCCAAAGAAGGCGACGACGCCCGCGCAGCTCATGTCGGTGATCAGCCGCGTCGCCGTCACCGTGTCAAACTTAGTGTCGTGCCATTCTAGCAGCAACTCCACGTCAGGGAGCAATGATGTATTGTTGTTCAGCTGCAACATACAAATTACATAGATATTCTTTATGGAACCGCTATACAACGAGCCAAAATTCTCCCTAAACATTTATGGCATACGCATGGGCGGATCACCTGTTGGTAAGTAATTAGCGCCGCCTATGGAAACTCAACACCAGAAGAGCTATGTGTTGCCGACCCTTTGGAGATTAGGGATTTGGGTATTAGGTATTGAGGGGGGATTGCGCTTCAGATAAAGTGTTGTTTCACGCCGGTTGTATGTGAGGTCATGGTATCATTGCGGCTGAACTGGCCCATAAGTGCGGAGGCATGGCTTTCACTTAAAATAATATGAATTATAGCGACAAATAACATTACTATTTATGTATTGATATTTATAGGACATTTACTTATATATGAGGAATTCCAAAAGAACTGTTTGTTTGACCTCGAGCTAAAAATAGGTACGGAAGTGTAGATATGATTTTGCGCTGATCAAATAAAGTTTTATCATTGTACGAATCCAAATGAAGTCACAACATTTTATGCTTGACAGTTGTGTTAGTTCCAAACGTAGTGAATATAACTAAACCGCAAGAAATTTAAATTCAAACATCAGAGAACCGTGCGGAACCGCGCTGGAATTAGTTTAGCGATACGTGTGATTTAATGTGATGCTAAAAATATTGCGGTATGCTATCTGGCTAATGGCAACGATGTCCTTGGCTGTATAGATTGATGGGAACGAGTCTGATTTCAATTAAAGTAATGGATAGCAAATATCATCAACAGCATACCTCTTCGAGGGCAATGGAGAGTGCTCCAGAAATGGTCAAGCCCTGTCGGTCTCGCAGGTCGCCGGTGATGCAGGGCAGGTAGCCGATGGTGAGGTTAAACTTTTTGGCGGCGAGCGAAGGCTCGGCCAATAGGCTCAGCGCCGCGAGTACCAGCACCCGCGCGCCGCGCCACATGCCGTCGCCTTCACTACGACACGCTCACCTGCACAACATTACAATACCTTGTTAGACACTTCGCTGGCGCCATCTCCAAACATTTACTTACAAATTACATTTAGCTTCTACGTTCAATCCCAAAATCTTAGAACTCGTGCTTTTTCTGACCATTTAGGGTGTTCTTTGTTTACTACCGAATAATGTTTAAATTACATAATCATATCTTAAAGAGAGGTGAAATTTTATGCAGACATACAGACAGGTAACGACAATTTCATAGTTATAAACTTGTATTAAGTACCATATTATAACGACAATCGATAGAAAAACTGACTACCATATTGTGCTATATGTAGACAGTTGCATAACGTTTACTAATTAGTTGCAGCGTTTGTATTTCCCCAGAATACCTATAATTATATGCGCGGAGTATATTACTACTAATATGAAGATAATATAATTATTATTCAGATAACAATCCTACACGAGACAATTAATTTTATATAAACAATATTGATGCATCATCAAACGTTTATTTACTTAAGAATCATTTAATTCACATAAGAATTAATAAAAATAGTACAGTGCTCAAACTGCATATGGATAAATACATAATTAAGATAGAGATCGTACATAATCGTAATTTGAGGATAAGTTCCTGCAAAGATTGTTTTTGCTATTAGCTTTGCATCAAGATAATCCTTAGGGGTTTCATAAAACTTCGAGTCATTGTCCTATTACGATAAGAGGATGATTGGTAGATAACAAACGTATTGAAACAGTGTGCGCCTTCATGTCGAACAGCAAACATAATTATTGTGATGGCAATTAAAACTTATCGTGATAAACAAAGTTATTCATTTGTCATAAGATCAACGTAAGAAATTATTATAATAATTATTAATTATAATCTATGAAATAAACACTTTCTTAATCCGTATTACCTACTCGTAGCTTAGTGAATGTTCCCTTCATGATCTAGCGCATAGATTCCCAAAGTGGTCCAGGTGGACCCCCAGGGGTCCACGGCAGCCCGACAGGGGTCTACGCTCGCGTGGAAAAAGAATGGGGGTCCACAAAGCGTTAACGGGGTCTATAAAAATGTATTAGGTGACCCGACTTGACTTCTCTTATGAATATAGGGAGAAAGTAATATAGGCAGACATTATTATAAGAAGTTTTACTTCTGCTATGAATATAGGAAGACAAAATTATAAGAAGCTCAGCAATACGGCAGCTTCCAACTAGTCAAATTCAATACTTTTATCCAAATGTCAAAAACGATACTTTTCTACGTGTATGAAACTCTGAGCTATGACGTCATAGTATTTTTGCTTATTTCGTAATAATTAGCTAAAAAATATCGAATGTAGGTATCGATCGATTGATGAATAAAAGTATAGTTATTTTTCAATATTTTATTGTATTGAAACATCGAATTAATTTATTTTTGACCTAGAAAACTACCCAATGGTTTTTGTAAGAACTTGCATATTCCATATTCAGAAAGCGCGTGTCAAGACCCGCTGATTCCGCGCCGCTAGTTAAAGTCGTATCTGAACTTGCATGAACTTATTGGATTTTTCCCTAATATAAATAGGAATGCGAATGATAAACATAACTCAGTTGTTTCCGGAATTTCAAAAAAGAAAACAAGTGTAATGGATACGAAACATGGCTGAATCTAAGAAGATTCAGCCATGTTTCGTATCCATTACACTTGTTTTCTTTAATAAATTTCAAATATTCAACACTGTACTGTCGACACTTCTTCTTAGAAGTGTCGACAGTACAGTGTTGAATATTTGAAATTTGCAAGACAAGCGATTGCCCATGTGTCTTTTATGCAACAAAGTCTTGGATCTTGATCTCGGATTACAATGGTAATCTGAAATAAAAGTTAACATCAAAACTAATAATGATTATTATTTTAAAAACAGTTGCAATATTTCAATATCAAAATTTTGATTATATTGCGACTGTTTTTTAAATACTAATGATTATTAGTTATGATGTTAAATTTTGATTCTACTAAGACTGTCATAACAACATAATTACAAGTGTAGTAATTTTTGTGTTTGAATAAATAGCTACAAAACAAGAAAATACTTATTTTACTTTTTACCACTCCGAAGTGGGTGCTTATCGGTTTCTTGTACTGTAAGTCAACCTTAGAATACAAAAAAAATAAGTAGGAATCTGTTGGATGAAGACGCTTTTTAGACTGACCTTGAACTCACAGCATAATCAAAGCAATATAAATTCTCACCTTTGTTCGAAAACTCATAGTTGATTGAAAAAAAATAGACACAGATTTACATAGACATATACTTTTTTCGGGTTTTGGAAGTAAGTTAGTAAATGTAATAGCTGCAGGGGGTCCACCAGATCCAGCAAAATGTTTATAGTGGATATAAGAAAAAAAAGTTTGGGAACCTCTGATCTAGCGTAACTCGTCGATGTTTTGTCAAGTACTATAAATTGCGTCATTGTAAAATAAACATTTCAATACTAAGTTTAATTCCTGTACCTACATACATATTCAAGTTTGACAGATATATTTGAGATCAGGCAGAAAATAAAATTGATAATCTTACTTATAATAATATTTCTTCTCGGGCGTGGCACATATTATGAAAATACGAAATATGAAAATACAGAAGTCTTAAGCCCTACATTTAACAGTTTATCAAAAGACTACATAATGGCGACAATGAGTGTGTCTATTTCTGTAACTCAATAAAGGGAAGTCTTCCTGCAGCGCGTTTTCCGCCCTCAAATGTAGGAATTGCTTCCATGCTGTCAAGTAAGTAATTGGCTCGCAGCCGGCGACCGATTAGACCAATTGACGTGCCGCTGTTTTGACAACATGCACCTCGTCTTCTAAAAATGTTTATACATGTATATTTTCAGAATCATGCTTCTTAAATATAAGCAAAAGTAAGTTATTGAATAAACTATTACAATCTTCCTGTAAGTGTTCCTTGTAGCTTGTATGTAAAAGTAGAAATTTCACGTCCCTAGTATACATAAACGCTACATAGAGCTAAAGTCAATAACCGCACGTAGCCCGTGTTGCACGACGGCGCACAGTCAGCATATTGGTTGGTGGCACGGGCACCTCGCTGGCTAGAGCGGCCAGTGTGCCTGCGCACAATGTCAGGCTGGCCGCAGCCCATTGGAGGCGTGTTCACAGCCCGCACCACACGCATGATCGCCAGCGTCGATGAACCACGATCTCGCCATGAGATAACATCCGCGATAACGTTCTCCATAGTTATTTTTAGAACTTAATAAAAAAAAGCTAATGTAATTATGATAACTTTTCACGCAATGGTGTACGCTTCATCCATTACGCAGTTACAAGCCACATGACCAAATTTACATATAAAATTATAAACATACGACCAAAAGCGGCTTTTTGTCTGCATAAAACCTGACTCAGGTCAGTTGAGTTTCATTAACAACTCGCTACTTGCTTTATTTCCTGGAGTAAAGTACCCTTGTTATGCTAAAGGTCTGACGTCCCAATTGTCGTACTTTTTCAATGAAGCCAGAGCGGCAATGGACAAAATTCCAATGAGAAGGAAATAAAATTATTTTACCTAACACAAAATCCTATACAGAACCGTGAGTGACATCGATACATTCAAATTGTGCAATCTGTATAAAACTATTTGCTTACTATTTAGATACTTTAAAAGGAATTAACATTGTGATCTATAATTTCTTGTAAGTACTTATTGTGACCAAGAAAATGTTTGTTTATTCATAACAAGAGAAGTCACAAAATTAATTAAACTGAGAAGGATAACTTTTGCTAGCAACGTAGTGAAGACACGACACGGCATAAGTCACTACATGATTATAATATTCCTGGTAAATGCCTTATGGTTTGTTACGTCACACATTTATTCAAGTTAATATTTGTAACCTCGACTTTGGTTACATATTTACCAAGTTATTAATAGTACGCCAAATACCTAAGCTAGAGGCTGAATCAGCAGACGGATCAATCAGATCCAGTTTAAACAGGATTGAACATGGTCAACAAAATAAAAAAATAAAAATGTAGTAAAATTATCAAGTGCTTTTATTGAGTCGATAGTCTGATATATTTATTAACATTTGAATCATCAGAATAAAGTTTAAATTATCTGGGGTAACCTAACTGTCACATTTTTCTAAGAAATATCCTGAAATACGGAAAAATCCTTAACACGGAAACTCTAAGAAAAACAACAAAAGTTCAATGGAAAATTTTTTACTTAGTTACGTTTGAATCCAAAGAAATGAATAAGATATTAATCGGTCACAAAAATGTGCAAATTACTAGGTTACAGCTATGCATTCTTCATTTTTCGATATAGGTACCTAGCCAAACAAGGACCAATTTGTGTGTTTGACCAATGTTTAGACGTCGGTGCCAAATTAGATATTTCTAGTTACAAAATATGTGTAAGTAGTTATTACTCATTTACAGAAATTATTGTTATTTCATTTCTAACCAATTTTCATTATAGAGCACTGTCAGAAGACCGAAATCTGTGGCCCGTTTTATAAAATAGGACATGGGGTCCTATTTTATAAAACGGTTGTTAAGATATGGATCTTAACTAGCCAGAACAGGATACGCAAATAACTACAGATTGAACCAATATTTATATATTAAAATCCGTAATAGAATTTTAATGTATTGAATGTTAGAGTAAGTACATTACACTTACTCTACTTGCACATCCAACACATTTAATGAAGCATTATTTCTGAACCACTCAATCTGCTGACACTCAGCAATTAAAGGTCGACTATAAAATGTCGACTAAAATACATTTTACTTACCTATTAAAATTTGTAATATTTGCAAATGCTATTAATGAACACAACCGTCTAGACATGACTACATAAAAACTCTTTTCCAAAGTATGTCATATTCAGTAGCTGCACTCAAGAACAATTAAAGGTTTAAGTCTTATAACGTTGTAATTTAAGATCAGAATCTTGTAATATGTACAAATTTCTATATTACTATTATTAACTGGCAAC